TCCCCCCCCCCCCCCCTTCTCCATAAATCGTTTTCTCGGGCCCAAGTTTTTATTCAGCTGGAAACTGCAAGAAAATTGTTGCCTACCAAAAAAAACATTTTTTATACAGGAATGACCATTTAATCCTTCTTTCTGCACTGCGTAAGTTATTTCCAGCTTTAAACGTTGTAAGATTTAGTTGAATAGAAAACCGTTAGGGTTAAAAACAAATTTCACCATTGTCTTTCATTATCCCGTTTCTAGATTTAATTTAAGAAAAAAGGCATAAAATTTTTCCACTCCGAACTAGTTTTTCAGTTTTAAATAAAGATTATTTACTCAGCTGTTTTATATGTTTACATAGTTTTTATTGCACACGCTGATAATCTATACGAACCTTTTGCAAAAGATCAATTTGTGTAAATCGACAAATTTCTTTTAAAAAATTCTTATTTCTACTGAAAAGAATAATTTCCATTTGTTGACGGTTACTTGATATTATACGCACTAAAAAAAGAATTGTTTGTATAAAATACCTGTTACTATCTTTATTCTAATACTGAACTCTGATTGCTCAAAATTTTGTTCTCAACCAATAGGAAACCAGAATCAAACAGGGGCATACATTAACAAAATTAATTTAAATTATTTTTAAATATTGAGTTACTGAGTAAATTTTACTAAATAAAAAACAAATTTCCCGTAAATGTGTATTTTTAAAAGAGTAATTAAATTTTTCTAAATCATCTGATCGAGAAAACAGCGGAAGATAAAAAAGTTCACTTATTAAGTTATTCAGTAAGTAGTTGTAGTTTAATACAGTTAAAGTGATAATATTGCCATGTTTTGGCTTTCGTATAATCAACATATAGTTTATCTTTTTTCTTTAAGAAACAGCTTTTTTCTTGTTTATATATTATCTATTTGTTTATCAACATATGTGTCATTTTTAACAAATCCATGCAACGCAGGTGTTTTAGGAGGAATCAGATATTTCAAAATTTTGGATTTCGTGAAATCTTGAGAATTAAATTAATTTAGATCTTTATTGTGTTTAAGTGATTTTGAGGTTTTTCTTAATGAACAGTTTTTAACGAATTTTAAGGTTTTCCAAACAAAATGTTATAATATGCTAGTGCAAGGAAGTGAATGGGAGGGTTGGTATGCCGCCCCTGCCCCCTTTGGACAAACAACGTTCAAAATAAAAATCTTAGAGGTTGGGCTTTTTTATCGAGTCTGTCCTAGCATGTGATTTTTGACCCCCTCCCCCCCCCACCTCCTATCAATTTTGTACGCTGGGGCTGGGATAGGCTAGGGGGTTAGCGCTGCGGCTAAGACAGGTTAAGGGGCCGGGCGCTGCGGCCATATGACCAATAATAGCAATGTGATTCATATGAAATCCATGTACAAAATTGATAGGGGGGGGGGTCCAAAAATCGCATACTAGGAAATTACCTTTTCATCGGCATTCAAATAAAAAAATGGTGTGCATAACGTCTTATGTTCGCCAACTACGATTTCAAATTTAAATGGAACTCTTACGATCCAATTAACAGATCAATCGTTTATTAATCGTTATAGATATTAATTATCAAACATATGCGTAAAGCTGCTAAAAAATATATTGAATTGAATATTGAATGTGTTTCTGTCTAATCGGATACTTTTCAAAATTATTCAACCTAAATCTCTTATAAATTAAAGATTTAAATCAAATAAACAAAATTTTTTATCTTCTAAGAAAAGGTTTTGCGTGTTTTACCACATATTTTCTTTAAGGTTGACCTCCAAGGCGAGTTTAAGGGGGAGGGGGAGGACAAACAGGGACAGTTTGAGGTCAGGGGGACAATACAGGGGTCAGAGGTCAGATATATCTTCATTTCAAATTTAAAGAAAATAAAAGAAATTTTGAACATTTTGAAAATTATTTAGATTGAGTTTGTAAAAGATTACAAAGAGAATGGAAATCACAAGGGAATAATATACAAAGGAAAATCATTTTTTTATTATTCGAGATTTTATTTATAACTATTGGCATAAAGTAATCTATCCCAAAATATTGGCATATACAGTATATCCCAAAATATTGGCATATAGCAGTCCATCCCAAAGCATTGGCATAAAGCAGTCTATCCCAAAATATTAGCATAACGCAGTCTATCCTAATATATTGCAAAACGCAGTCTATCCCAAACTTTTGGCATAAATCAGTCTTTCCAAAAAAAAGGCTTAAAGCAGTCGACCCCAAAATATTGGCATAAAGCAGTCGATCCAAAAAAAGGCATAAAGCAGTCTATCCCAAAATATTGGGTAAAAGCAATCTATTCTATAATATAATATCGGCATACAACAGTATCCATAAAATGGCATAAATAAGTCCATTCCATAATATCGACATAAAGCAATGTATCCCAAAATATTGGGATAACGTCAATCCCAAAATATTGGCTGTCAATAATTTATTAGGAATCCCGCAATTCATCAGTATTAGATTAAAATTCTAAAGTTGTAGAAATTCAGAAGAAAGAAAAGATTTATTTCCTAAAAAATACTGATTTGGATTCAGGAAGAATTGAAGAAAACAAGATTTCTGGAAAATATGAATTTCTCTACAAAGCTCTTTTCATCCGTTTAAACGTCTGTGAAGATTTTGAAATGAAATTGATTACGTAAAGCATATTTTTATACTCGGCGGTGCGGATTCTTTTGCCTATTCCTACCTTATCAGTGTCGGCCGTCGGGCATAGTTTTTCATCAATATTTTTTTTGCTCATCAAAAATATGAAATGAAAATATATTAAAATTGCAATGGCTAAAAGTTATTTACAAATTGCATTTTTTTGCCCCCTAAAGATGGGAGCCGAAATTAACCTTTAAAAAAATAAGAAATAATTTTTTCAATATCAAATGCTCAAAAAAAAATAATAGGGTCCAGGGCATTTTTGACATTTTTACACTTCCTGTATTTTATTAATTATTGCATTTTTTATTTTTTATCCAATAACCTATTAATTGTAATTAGATTTATAGACATGGACATGGAATTAGGGACATGGGGACACGGATGTGATCAAATAGAAAATATTTTAGTTGGATTATGAAGTAAAAAAAACTTTATTTTAAAAGATTCAGAGTCGAGAAGATATAATTATTTCAATAAAACTATATTATTATTATTATGGCACGCTGGCGGCCAAGTTTTAACTTTTTATATTTGCTTTCATTTTTCAATCATATTTGTCTATATAAGCGAAAATTGTTTTCAGATTATCAGGTTTTATCCCCGAATTTTCCTGAAGAAGATATTTGTTTCTTTTTTGTTTTTATTTGAGACAATTTTAATTTGATCTTATTTAAATCTCTTCCACTTGTTCTTGTTCAACTCTTCTTCCTGCTTTTATTATTGTCAGGGCGGGCAAATATATTTTTAAGGAACATACATTTTTAAATTATATTTTTAACTAAATTTTAATTTCGAATGATTTCAGAATGGTTGAAATATGTCCTCGACTCCTCTCGATTCAAAGTCACGTGGTTTCAGGTAAAACGCAAAGCATAATTGTTCAAGTATTTTCATGTTTTCTCATCTTTTCGAATTTTGTCTTTTCAACTTAAGTTTGCGACGTAGCCTCGCAGAAAATTGGCTCAATATAAAAGTGTTGTTTTTTTTGACTCAATTCAAGTAACCTCTTAAGTTGAAATATCTTTTGAATAAGTGTCCAGGGGGGGGGGGTCTCTTCCAAAGTTGTAACTTAAAAAACTAATCTATGACGACTGACGAGACACCAGACTTTTTAACATTGCATTAATTTTTCCTATCTATTTGAGGATATGTTGGGAATAAATCTGCTACATTTCCTCTTCAGCTCCTGGGATTCGAGGTTATATCTTTTTATAAACCTGGTCTAGGGTTAAACCAAGATACCATGGTCAGCATATCTATCAATACAATATCGTTGACATATATATATATATATATATATATATCAATACAATATTCGGTACTGAACTGCTTCATTTTAATAATGTTCTTTGTATATACAAATCAATCATTAGAAACTGAAATTGTATTTTATCACCATTTCAGAAATCGAAATTGCATTGATATATATATATGCTGACCACTGTATATGATATATAAATTTAACTATATATCCTTATACCCATAGAAAATATAATACGTTAGATTTGAAATAAGAATTCAAAAAGTTAAAATGATTAAATATGTCTCCTATATTTTAAAACCTGGGTTTTTTAATGAATATTTTGTATAACATTATAGATCATTCTGGTCCTAAACTACATTTTATAGTGGTAAAAGGCTTACTTATTTATACATAATTTCCTAAGTCGTAATAGTATGTGATTGAAGGTTTGACAGCGATTATTATTATTATTATTATGTGTATTTTCAAGTTAACGAACTATCCCTTTAAAACTGTTTGTTAAGGTTGATGCAATCAACTCTGTCCAGTTCTCAAATCATACTGGATACGAGCACGGAACTAAGGGACAGGTCACTAAATAAATTTGAATATTATTTTTAAACGTTGACAAAAAATGTAATTTAAAACTTTTTGTTCATATTTTTTGTGTTTTTAGGCGTTAAATGTTGATTTTTAAAACTTTTAACTTTTCATTTAATTTATCCATCGAGGGATTGATTTAGACGGATTCATGAATTGATTTTGATTTGTGAATAATTTAATTCATCTATTAATTGATTGATGAATAATTTAATTCATCTATTGATTGATTGGTAGATGATTTAATTCATCAATTGATTGATTGATGAATAATTTAATTCATCTATTGATTGATTGGTGAATAATTTAATTCATCTATTGATTGATTGATGAATAATTTAATTCATCTATTGATTGATTGGTGAATAATTTAATTCATCTATTGATTGATTGTGAATAATTTAATTCATCTATTGATTGATTGGTGAATAATTTAATTCATCTATTGATTGATTGATTAATAAAATTGCCAGATAAATCCCTTCTTGTCTATGTCGTATTTGCAATGGTTGTTTAATTGAATAATTGCTAAAGCTGGATCCTTTTATATGATTGATAAGTTGATTTATTGAAAGTTGAGATATTTTTAGAATTATTATGTTTCTGTAATATCAACTATTTTACTGCGCGGATTTTTTAGTATTAAAAGTGGATTACAAAATGTTTGACAAAATTACTAATAATGTTCTATATTAGATAATGAACGACAGTGAGCTTCAGGAGTTGATAGATGGATTGCAGATGAACAAGATCAACTCCTTCTCCCATATTATCAACGGATATATCGGATCCAAATCTTTCCTCCTCAAGCTGGGGGAGGTCGTTAAAACCCTGAAAGCTGTAAACCCAGGTAAAGATTTAAGATTTATTTTACAGGAAAAGAAAAAAGAAAAAAGAAAAAAGAAAAAAGAAAAAAGAAAAAAGAAAAAAGAAAAAAGAAAAAAGAAAAAAGAAAAAAGAAAAAAGAAAAAAGAAAAAAGAAAAAAGAAAAAAGAAAAAAGAAAAAAGAAAAAAGAAAAAAGAAAAAAGAAAAAAGAAAAAAGAAAAAAGAAAAAAGAAAAAAGAAAAAAGAAAAAAGAAAAAAGAAAAAAGAAAAAAGAAAAAAGAAAAAAGAAAAAAGAAAAAAGAAAAAAGAAAAAAGAAAAAAGAAAAAAGAAAAAAGAAAAAAGAAAAAAGAAAAAAGAAAAAAGAAAAAAGAAAAAAGAAAAAAGAAAAAAGAAAAAAGAAAAAAGAAAAAAGAAAAAAGAAAAAAGAAAAAAGAAAAAAGAAAAAAGAAAAAAGAAAAAAGAAAAAAGAAAAAAGAAAAAAGAAAAAAGAAAAAAGAAAAAAGAAAAAAGAAAAAAGAAAAAAGAAAAAAGAAAAAAGAAAAAAGAAAAAAGAAAAAAGAAAAAAGAAAAAAGAAAAAAGAAAAAAGAAAAAAGAAAAAAGAAAAAAGAAAAAAGAAAAAAGAAAAAAGAAAAAAGAAAAAAGAAAAAAGAAAAAAGAAAAAAGAAAAAAGAAAAAAGAAAAAAGAAAAAAGAAAAAAGAAAAAAGAAAAAAGAAAAAGGAAAAAGGAAAAAGGAAAAAGGAAAAAGGAAAAAGGAAAAAGGAAAAAGGAAAAAGGAAAAAGGAAAAAGGAAAAAGGAAAAAGGAAAAAGGAAAAAGGAAAAAGGAAAAAGGAAAAAGGAAAAAGGAAAAAGGAAAAAGGAAAAAGGAAAAAGGAAAAAGGAAAAAGGAAAAAGGAAAAAGGAAAAAGGAAAAAGGAAAAAAAGAAGAAAAGGTCGAAAAGGTCGAAAAGGTCGAAAAATAAAAACTAAGAAAAAATAACAAAGGGAAAAAATCGACCAAAGAAAAAATGTCCTTTATTTTCAAATTTGATGGACGAGATATTCGTAAATATTGACTTCAATATTTTATGCATATTAGTGTGATATATGAGAATCATGAAAATAATCTTAAATTTTCTTATACTCCGCGCCAGAAGTCCAATAAATTATCTAAACATAAACATAAACAATGCGCCTATTTATCAAATATGAGTTATTTGCTTTTCTTGGAAATGGATTTTTGAGATTTTGTAAACAAAAATGAAAGGATGACAATTGGTAATAATTCAATTGGAAAAATATACATTTTACTAGGCTTTCTAAAAAATGTTTATGATTTATCTTTATTTTGAAGGCTTGACATATGTTTGTGATCCAGTGATGGGGGACTTTGGTCCTGGCCTTTATGTCCCAGAGGTAAATACACTTTAAAAAAAAACATGAAAATTAATTTTAAAACAATAAAGATAAAACAAACAAAAAATACAGATTAAGTACATCGCTACATTTTAAGGAGTTACTAAGTGTGTATAAGGAGGTCATCATCCCAATTTGTGATATCTGTATACCAAACCAGTTCGAGGCAGAACTTATCACCGGAAGGAAGATCAACAAGTAGGTTTGATTTGTCAACGCTAGGTGTCTCTGCTGACATATTTACTTATTATGTGTTTAGTGAAGAGGATGCTATCTCAGTAATGGACGAGTTCCACAAACGTGGAGTAAAAACTATTATTCTGTCAAGGTTCAGAAAACAAGTTGCCTTCCCCCCCCCCCCTTTTCTTATTGTCGGTTTGTAAAGCGGGTGTGGGGGTTGCACACACAATACACAATACACATATTACCGCGACTTTTTGTAACTCGTTTATATCAAGACAATTAAAAAGATTGTAGACAAAAAGGTGGAAGATTTTCTTGTTAGGTGTAGGTAGGCCGGGCTTGTGACATCAATGTGTTATTTACAATTATCCAGTTTTTAACCAGTCCTTATACGTTCGTTAATTAACAAATCTCCATACAGACAGTTTAACTCACATTGGTTCGGTCCCTGAAATAATGTTATTCCTTTAATCTCGGAACCTTTTATTATTTTTTAAAAATTAATATTAAATATACTTTTACTTTGGTGATGTTTTTGCTGGTAAATACACTTTTACTGGTGATGTTTTAGCTGGTAAATTCACTTTTACTGGTGATGTTTTAGCTGGTAAATTCACTTTTACTGGTGATGTTTTAGCTGGTAAATTTTTTTTGAAAAAAGTACACAACAACATAATTACAACTTAACCCCTAAAGTCTGTAAATAAGCAAGCTTGTGTTCTGCAGTACAGAAATGGGAGATGAAAACCATCTTGTGGGGATTGCAAGCTGCAAAAAATCTAACCTGCACACTATTGTAAAAGTAAGTTTTATTTATTTACTTTTTCTTAATATTGAAATGATGAAAATATCTCAAAATACGATTTTTCGTTCAGAATTCAAGCCCTAAGGGACAGTCCCTTTGTCTGAAACAATATAGTAGACGTTTTTTAGCAACAGTCCAAAAAATAATTAAAATCATATGTCAATGCCATTATGTGTTTGCTAATATATACTTAAATATGAAAACTTTTGATATTTGAGACGCATAATATTTGTCTAAATGAAAACTGAAAAAATAAAGGTATTCTTCAATTCTTATTTATTTTTAATAGCCAACTGGAAACATTTGTTTGTTTGTTATAAAGATCAACCCACGACCGAACTTTTTAACTTTTTAACCGTGGTTCTTCTGAGTTATCCATTGAAAATATGAGGCAAATTGGTCCAGGGGTTCTTAAGTTATGATCGGACATCCATTCAAACAACATATATTAGTACTTTATATGTATACTAGCTTTGCCCAGGGTACTTGTAGTTACTTCCGCCGTTTACCAGCCTAAAAACTAAATTTCCACTATCAGTCGACCCTTTCAACCCTGAATCTCAAAATCAACCTAAGAACATTCCCGTGTCCCTCCCGAGTTCCCCAATTTGAGGGGAATATTTATAAAAAGATATGGATAAAGATAATTGTTGTAGATAAACATCCCAAAGTTCCCTGCTGCATTTGTTGGAACAGGAGACCTGTTTACTGCATTATGTACTGCCTGGTTGTACCGTACTGATAATAATCTCAAGCTAGCTTTAGAGAAAACTATAAACACAATGCAGGTAAACACATTAAAAGAATTCGAAATTATTTATATTGTTTAAAAGAAATGAACCTTTAGCAACATGCCTACTTTGCTACTTACAACAAACTTCAACTAGCTTTGTAGGAAAATAAGACATAAAAATCACTTTGTTAGATTTTGCCTTTGATTGTTTGATTGATACCATGTAGGTTGTTGACACCTTAAACAATCAAAAATATTTATAATTTTTAGAAAAACATTTGACCTTTTAAAAGCTTTTCTTGCCATTTAACAACAATTTCAAACTAGCACTGGAGAAAAGTATAAAATCATGCAAGCGGTGGAGAGTGGACAAATAAAGCAACGGAAAATTATTCGTAATTTCTTATAAAAAAGATACTTTTACTCACATGACGGTCACTCTGGTCAAATGAGGGTCATTTGAACCCGGTCACTCAATATGTTTTTAATAAAACTTTTGTTATTCAGTGTGTTCTGGAACGAACATTAGCTTCTGCAAACTTAGCGGCTAAAAATTTGGGAGCAGCAAAACCTTCCGCTGCTCAGATGGAGCTTAAACTTATTCAGGAACATTTTCAGCATTTAACAAGTTTAAGATTTGAAATGAAAACATGCTTCTTAAAAAGATTCGATTTTCTTTTTAGATGTATTTTTAAACTTCTTAAAGAAGCTCAGAACATTTTCTATTGTTTGTTTAGAAACCTAGGCTTTCATGTCTTAAGATTCTTCAGCAGTATGATAGTGCATTTATTTTATGAAATTTGTCAGTGCAAGGATGTTATCGAGAACCCTCCGATTGGTGTGGAGGCGTTAGTCCTGTTGGAGGAGAAGATTTAGAGGATTTAGAGGATCATTCTCAACCCTGTCCCAGTGCTTCCAGATGTAGTTTGTAAATTTAGTTTCGTGCGTAATTGCGTAGATCGATGGAGTCTTGTGCGTCATCATTAAACACTAAAAAAACCTTCTTTTCATGCTGCCAACGTCAAACCAATCGTTTTTGGCTCAAAAAGTTTCCAGATGGTTGAATTAAAAAAAGTTGCGAATTTTTTAACTTTTTGCTGAATATTTTGCTCAAAGTTTGTTTAAACAATAAACATGCAACTTTTTTCTGTCTTAGAGCTTTTAATTAATTTTGATTATAAAGAATTTACTGTCAAGTACTGAATGTTATTTTCTTGGTATTTCATGAAAAAGTTATCAGCCGTCTTTTCTGGGTGGTTTATTAGGAGGGTTATATTATTTTTCATATACTTTTTTCATTGTTTTATTTTATAAAATTTTTACTTTTCTTTTTATAGTTGTTTTAAAAACGTTGGCGTTTGGGGAGCAAATGAATTGAGTCTTTGCCACAAACTCTGATTTTCTAATCCCAATCCAATATCTTTGACCTTAGATATTTCACACTGTGGTTAGATCAAACAATCTCAGTTTAAAATATCAAAGGTGGCACAGATTGGGATTAGAAGTTTGTTGTGCCAAAGACTTTTCCCCAATTATATGTAGTTAATTGTAATAGTCAAAAAGCTTTCAAAATTACAAATTCTAATATTATAAAATTGTAAACATATCAATCAATGATACTCATTCTACTAGTCTGTATAAAGAACCCTAGTCTATTTAATTTATACTTGATAAAATTATCAAATTAGTCAACTTAGTTTTGATAGATTTCTTGCATTTGATCCACGTGAACAATTTGTAAAGGGAGGAACTGCCATTTTGTTTATTAAACTAGGTGTTCAAAGAAATTGATTCGTTGCCACAAACTCTATTTTCTAATCCTTATATCTTTGCAACCCAATGTCGTATAGATATGTCAAATTATGCATTATGTTAGGTCAAATAAAATTTGAGTTTGTGTCAAAGGCTCAATTCCTTTAAACTAAGTCAGATCGATCTCGCCCATAATATAACGAAGATTTTTGTGTCATGTTTTTTGTTGTTAAAAAAAAATTGAGAAAAAACAGATTCTTCAAAAATTGCAGTTTCCTCCTTTTATATTATCCACTATTATCGTCATTGTTAGCTGTTAGTTTCAGATAGAATGAAACTGAACTAAACATGAGTTCAATAGCTATAGAGGAGTTTGAGTTGCTAGGGGACCCTAAGTATAGGAGGTAAGATTGGATTGGACCCTTAAAGGGACAAAGTGAAAATTTTCAAAAACATATTGCAGCTTAGTAAAACTATAACGGAAGCAAAATCTTAATAAAACTTTATGTTTTCCGATTTCTATTCACAATGTTTTATTGAAACATTTTCCTTCTGATTAGATTTTGGTAAGAACCCTTTAAGAACACAAAAAGAAAATTAAAATGTAGGTGTATTATTTTTAATTGTGGTTTGTCAAAAAAAAAACATAAGAATTATTTAGAATTAAATACTTTTAAGCTTATAAAATAGACAATATTTTCTAAATCATTGGTCAGATAATGATTTTAAGGGTAGCGTTGTGAATTAAGTATTTCCATCTTTGCTTGGAGAATAACTTGAAATATCATTAACAGTCCCTTTAATAATAATATTTTTAGTTATATGACTCAAGTAGACCGTTGCTTGAGGGGGTTTGAGTCTACAACAGAATGGGCGGATCTCATCGCAGCTTTAACAAAACTTAACAAGGTTAATTTCTATGATACATTCTGATTCGGAGCCTGGATCAGTACCGACAAAAATATGATTATCAGTAAAAATAACATTTGAACGAAAAAATTTCAATTGTTTCTTGTAATTTTTTTTCGACGTTGAATTGAATTAACATAACTGAACAATTGAAAAGTAGACATTTAGGTTTTATGAAAAAGTGTGAAACCAAGGGATAAACATTCACTGATTTAAAGATATTCTTTCAGAGAGTTACATGCAAAAGCTTCGGAGTTAAATGACGACTTTTGCAAAGAATTTTATAATCTTGAATCCTTGAATAAATAAATTTGGTTCAAGCGACTTACGCATTTTTCATTAGTTTGATTATTTTTCTAATTGTACATTTAAGGTTTTGTTGGCACATATGAAGTATCCAATAATTTGATTATTTTTCTAATTGTACATTTAAGGTTTTGTTGGCACATATGAAGTATCCAATAATTTGATTATTTTTCTAATTGTACATTTAAGGTTTTGTTGGCACATATGAAGTATCCAATAATTTGATTATCTTTCTAATTGTACATTTAAGGTTTTGTTGGCACATATGAAGTATCCAATAATTTGATTATTTTTCTAATTGTACATTTAAGGTTTTGTTGGCACATATGAAGTATCCAATAATTTGAGTATTTTTCTAATTGTACATTTAAGGTTTTGTTGGCACATATGAAGTATCCAATAATTCCTCGGCGGATTATTATCAGTAAACGACTAGCTCAGTGTATGCATCCAGCTCTCCCAGCAGGTTTAATTCATTTATCCTTCCATCTTTTGATTTATTCATCCTTTCATTCATCCTATCTTTCATTTATTTATTCTTTCATTCACTTTTTCATTCTTTAATTCATTTATTCGTTCTTTTCTTCATTTCTTCATTCTTTCATTCATTTCTTCATTCTTTCATTCATTTATTCTTTCTTATTTTTCATTTATTCATTCTATTATTGATTTTTTTTTTTTTTTTTATTCATTAATTCATGCTTTCTTCAAATATTAATTTATTCATTGTTTTATTCACTTATTCATTCTTTTCTTCATTTATTCATTCTATCATTCATTTATTTTCTTTTATCCTTCCTTTCTTTCATTTATTTATTCATTCTTCCATTTATTTAGTCATTTAATCCTTCATTTATTAATTCTTACATTCATTTATTCATTCTTTCATTTATTTATTCATTATTTCATTCATTTTTTTAATTTATTTATTTTTCTATACAACGCTTTATTTATAAATGTTGATTGATAAATTAAGTTTTCATCCTATCCAACCTTCCCCTAGGTGTACACCAGAAAGCCCTGGAGACGTATGACATAATCTTTAAGTGTATGGGAACCAACAGACTGGCGGCTGAGCTCTTCATTTACTCTGCAGGTACACAATATTGAATACATACGGGCTGTCCAACTAAACATGGCACTTAAAGATCTTTTTTGATCTGAATTCATGGAAAGGGTGTCCCATGAAACATGACAGTTGAGAGTTGTTGTTCTTCAAAATATTTCGCATCATTTATTCGTCAATTTACATTTATTAGTATGATTCTTAAAACAATTATCGATAAATTACTCTAGTACTGGCATTTCCAAACTGTGGTCTGATATTTGTGTGCTTTTAATATTTTTAAAACCCCAAATAAGGCAGGCCACATCTTGGAAATGCCAGGACCACGTGCGTATTTCTGAAAAGTATATCAACGATAAAATAGTCCTTTCTCTAAAAAATCCCCAGTTTTTTTACGACAAAATGTCACTTTATTCCTGTTGGCATCATAAAAATATCTCCTTGTTTTTTTAGGGATAAATGAATGCTGCAATTTATTTCAAAGATCAAAGACGACCTTCGACAAGTCGTCTTTCAACTGTCAAGTTTCGATGGAAACCTTGTATCTTTAATGCCTTTATTTATTTTAAATTTTGTAAATATTATAGGTCTGTTCCCACTTCTCTCGAATGCCGCGATGAATGTAAGATCTATCCTACTCACTGTTTATGAGAATCATTTTGTTCCACTCGGAGATCGTCTTCGTCCCGGACTCAACGGGTTCCTCTCAGGTCGGATAAAAAAGAATTTTAGAGGTCGAGGGGCATGGAATATTTTTTTTAAAAAGCTTTATTTTTATAATGATCTCTTTAATGTGGATTTAGGACCTATTTTATTAACTATATGAGGTTTAGATCATTTTAAACACTAAATTTTAAATACCTTTTATATTGACAGCTCTACACTGGTCTGGTAGTCTGGTAAATATCAAAGTGGACCAGTCAAAGAGACTGATAGTGTGCAGTTGGGTGGTAAATTCATTTGTTGGCCTAGTTCCGGACCAGAGTGGACATGTTTTTTATCATTTGGTACACTAACTTCCCTCCTTTGACGGTTATATGCAGGGGGGGGGGACATTGTCTAGATTTCCGTGTAATTATGATAGATAGTTTATCTTTATTGTTATAGGTGTACTTCCTGGGTTAGAGGAGGGGTCGGACCATTATCAGAGAACCAATAATCTCCTTGAGGCTGTAGCAGAGGCTGTTCAACCTCAGGTAATCTTTTATGGGCTGTAGCAAATGCTGTTCAACCTCAGGTAATCTTTTAGAGTCTGTAGCAAAGGTTGTTCAACCTCAGGTAATCTTTTAGAGTCTGTAGCAAAGGTTGTTCAACCTCAGTGTACTCGTTACGTTGTTTTTGAGACTTTAAAAACATAAAAGCTCACTCATATCCAGGGCGAGTATTCCCTTATAACCAGCGCACCACATTAATACACGAGTGTTATGTTTGTATAAGCTTTATTGAAGTAGGTAATGCTCAACTTCAGCTCTCACACTGAACTGAAATTAAATTATTATAATATAACAGAATATATACGTATATGTTTACAAAATTTTGCTCCAGGTCTCAATAAAGAAATTTAGTTTTTTGAATCATTAAAAAATCATATTAGCAAAGAGTTCAGTATTTAAAAACACACTTACAAAGTTGCTCGGGCTGGGGTCTTGATATGAGCTACAGTTCAGAGAGAGATTATCTTATGCTTCATTCAGAGTCCTTTTGTGTCTAAAAGAGAATTCTCGGTGAGATTTGATCGACAAAAGATAAGCTTATAGATCACTTATCAAAATATTAGCACAGAAATTGCAGTGTACCTTTAGGTGCAATCCTTAAAGCAGAGAAGGAGAGTATCGGAGAACCAAGGGGAAGACGACGTCCTTGATATTGTTCTCTGATCTTGAGGAATCTAAACAAGACGGGGTTTTAAATCCTGTTCGTCAAGACCGTTATATATATTTCTCGTATGATGAGTCTCACCTTAACAGGACACGTCTAAAGCATATGACGTTCCAACATAAGTCCTCGAAATCTGTGTTGTCCAGTCGGAGGCAGCTCGGTCAGATCAATTAGCACTCCGAGTTGTGGATCAGAGGAGGTGAGCTCACATTCTTATGCTCAGGATGATGGTCAGGAAGAATCACGATGGTGGAAGACGGCCAAGGGAATCTAGAACAGTTCTGAAGATGGAAGACGACATCAGAAGATTTCTCCAGGTGAAGAGTATTTACTCCATCTGATCTGTCAGACGGAGGAGTACACGAACATCAGGGTAGGTCCTGAATACATGTATTTGGTCCTGAATACATGTATTTAGGGTATCTGCATGTGCATAATATTATCGATGAACATTCCAAGGATCAAGTTTCAAAGTCTATTTATGATTTCGCATGGTTCACCTGAGTTTCATTTACTCGACGAATGAAGATTTGTAGATGAGGTTGTAGATAATAGATTTGTAGGATGATGTTGTAGGTGGTAGATTTGTAGGATGGTTGAAGTTAGGGAGAACACGCTTAATCTAAGATCTGTATCACCATTATATAACATCATTACATATATCAAAGTTTTCTTTTTAGCTCTAGACCTTTTTTATTATTGGAAATAATCTTTTAAAAGATGTTTTATAAACCTCGTAAAAGTGGAGACCTGGAGACTTAATCGGGTTATAAATATAATCAACCCATTCTTCTTCTGAAAAAGACGATATATAGTTTTTTAAGTTAAAATTATTCTTTCCAAATTAAAATCATTGTTATACAAGCTAAAATCTTTACTTTTTGAATTAAAAACTTTCTTTCTTTTGAATTCTCAATAAGATAAAGAATTTTATATAAAACAGCTCATGATTAACATTTCTCATGGCTTGATAAGATTAAAAGAATATATAGGGTTGTATAATTCAGAACATTGATTTTTTAGTATAAGGATGAATAATCAAGAGTTTCAGAAATGTAGGAGAAAGTTCGAATTTTCATGTGTAGATTCAGTTTCAACCTTTTCCGCTCCAACTTCTTCACATTCATCCCAAGGATTCTCTAGGTTTTTCAGAAATCCTGAACATTGAAAGTTTATTAGAATTCTTCAAATTCCACACTCAGGTAATCTTCTAGAGGCTTTTAACCTCAGCTTAGGTAATTTTCAAGAGGCTGTTACCTCAGGTAATCTTCTTGAGGCTGTAGCATAGGACCTCAGGTAAACTTCTAGATGCTGTAGCAGAGGTTCTTCAACCTCAGGTTAACTTCTAGAGGCTGTAGCAGAGGTTATTCAACTTCAGATAAATTTCTTGAGGCTGTAGCAGAGGCTGTTCAACCTCAGGTAAACTTTTAGAGGCTGTAGTAGAGGTTCTTCAACCTCAGATAATATTTTAATAAGAAGACGACTGTTGACTTATGATTTTAAAAAGTCCAATGAACATGAAACACATTAGTTGAATTACTGGTAAAACTGTTTGCGTATAACAAAATCAAATTCACATCAATTTAATTAAATGTCAACAGCTTTATGGATCCCACTGTATGACCTGTTTTTCCCTTTCCACAAGTTTATTTTCTTAAAATTGATTTTTTATTGTTTTTTTTTTTTTTATTCTTATTTACAATTTTTAGGTGTTTTACTCTGGGCTCTGGGAGTGTGTTGCAACAAATGCTACTATAAGGTTAGAACACGCATGTAAAATTTATTAAAAATAATGACTTGTGATAAAATTCAGCTAATTCTTTTTCTGTGTTTAGTTGATGAAAATCTTTTTTTTGCATTAGTAATAGTAAGGTCCTAAAAGCTGTCGTCCGATATTCAAGGACCTCAACAATTGTTCCTTGGTGTCTTTTTACAAGTACGACGGAATATGCCAGAAATGTATGTTGAAAAAAAAACATAGCTTCCCAATTTACATTCTTTTAATGTCCTCAAATAACAGCAGCAAATGTAAAAAAAACTTTTAATATAAATTTTAGACTTCCTGCTCTGACCTTTGTGCTGTGTCATTGTGGTAAAAAAACACGTGGTTTGTCAGCTGCTTCAACCCAGCCCTATCTACTCGGAGCAGATCATGACGTCATGTGCAGGGCTCTTTGTCTAGCTTTACAGGTACAAATATAGACTTTTTAATTGAGCCAAAACAGTTTTTAAAAATCACCCCCCACCCCCTTAATCTTAAAAATCTACTTTTAGATGCATTTTCACTAGATGTAAGAAAAGTACAATGGTAGTTGGTTCAACTTCTCTGAAATTTGAATGCTTGAAAAGTAAAACTTTACAGCTTTCTTGGGGCACCATGGCAGATAAAAAATGGGGTGTATTTGATCGCTTTTGAGCTCGAACCAGTTGATAATCCCAGATCTAACTCTGCCGCATTCATTAGTATACCATCTTAAAGGATTCCTCTGCTCTGGTTCAAAGATCTGCGCTAGACCTTCTTCTCCAGGGGTTTCCTCTTCATCATCCTCAGTTTGTAAAACAGGTCAGAACAGGGGTACATATTTTGTTGGAAATTATCCCCCCAACCTCTTAGGTAATTAACCTAGAAGATTGAATGTTGTAATTAAGAGCCTGTTAAAAAGAAGAAGTTGTTTCATTTAAAGCAAAAGGGGTTTGTCGAAGTCAACAGATGGGTCAATCTGCTCAACAATCCAGAGATGAGATGATTTCTAGGATGTATAATGTACATTTATGTACAAGGATTGGAAGAAAAAAGCCTCAAATACTGTCCAGAAGAAATTCTGCACCAATACATTTTTGAAGTGTGTTATTTATACAATGATATAAATTTAATATCAGGAATTAATGAAATTACTAAGGGGGAAAAGTATTAAATGAGGGAGTAGGATGATATCTAACTTTTCAGTATATTCCGCCAAATCTTATGAAATATCATCAAATTTACTGATTCATTAGGATATGGTCTGCCTGGTTAGTAGTGTCCTGAGTTCCTTACTCCGAAGAGATATGTCATTGAATCGTCGTCTTTTCTCCTGGATTCTTGGATCAGAGATCAATCCTGATCTGCTTCCAGGTAAACACAGGAGTGAGGTAGAGATCGTCTTCTCATGGTTTCTTGGATCAGAGATCAATCCAGATCTACTTTCAGGTAAACACAGGAGTAAGGTAGAGATCGTCTTCTCATGGTTTCTTGACTCAGAGATCAATCCCGACCTACTTACAGTTAAACACAGGGGAGGTCCTCTTTTTTCCTGGATTCTTGAATCAGAAATCAACCCAGAGTCAAGATCTGCTTCTAGGTAACTAAGGGCTATGATGGAAGTCGTTTTTTTTCCTGGATTCTTTGATCAAAACTAAATCCAGGATTGAGACCTGCTTCCAGTTAAGAAAAGGGTAGGGGTTAGATAGTACAATCTCAACCAGTTTCCAGGTATAACGAGGGTAGGGGTTAGATAGTACAATCTCAACCAGTTTCCAGGTATAACGAGGGTAGGGGTTGGATACAATCTCAACCAGTTTCCAGGTATAACGAAGGTAGGGGTTAGATAGTACAAGCTCAACCAGTTTCCTGGTATAACGAGGGTAGGTGGGTAAAGGTAGTCCTATCTCCTGGATGCTTGGTTTAAAGATCAATCCCGACATACTTCCAGGTAAACCAAAGATAGAGGGTGCTGTTAGGTCATCTTTTCTTTACAAGGAGGAAAGAAAGGGTTAATTACTCTTTTCCCATATGAAAGTAAAATTCTTTAAAAAGATCAATTATGATAGATAATTAAAAAAAGTTTCACAATGTGATGATTTGACCAATTTTCTGTTATCAGGATCCCATCCTGCCGTGCAGAGAACTGGAAGTGAAGAACTTGCAGAAGAAGTGAAGGACGAAACATATTTTTCAAGGTTAATCTATCCTCCGTNCCACAACATTTGTCTCTAGATTGGTTCATTACAGAGTAAACACTAGAAAAAATTCGATTCCTCCATTTTTTAATGTTTTATTGTAGTGGTGTTTATTTTCCTGTACAATCATTACCCCCACCCCCGTCTTATGAAAATAATTTTTTCCCTTAAGTAGCGCTTAAAGTTTAGGGTAATATTTTCTGAATATGTAAAAAAAAATTTTGGAGGTAAAAAGTATTATTAAGGATGAAAAAAATTTTATTGCCTACGTTTGTGCCGACTGTAAGATGGCCAATTTTGATCAGCTTTTTTGTAAAAAAAAAATCAACTATTTACTATTTCTTCCTTTTTTTAACGGGATTGGAATCCATCAAACCATTAGTAATCTTGTTGTTCTCTAGGTATGGTCGAGATCTGGTTGTATCCGCTGTACTCCGGATACTAGAGGAGAGTATACCCAACCGTGCCACTGATCAACCTTTAGATACAAAACCATTCAGGAGAGGAGCAAGTTCATCTCATTGAACCTCTTTCATACTTTCTGCAAGTGCAGTTAAATGCATTACAATAAGACAAATTGTGTCTTGCAAAGTATTTTTTAACGGATTTTTTTTTCTTTATACTTTTTACAAATTATGCAAAGAATATTTATCATGCACCCGTTTCAGATTTAGCGTAGTGTTGTGTTTATGTACAGTAAGACCCATACATTCAGTAATAAGTTATCAATGAGATTAACTGCTTCAGAATAATCACATCTCTGCTGGATAAACCTGAGATAGGTCCCTTTATTGTTGATCATATTATCCTTGATATTTTCAGGTAATTTCATCATTCAGATTTTCTTTGATAACATCACAATCATCATTAATTTGGTTCAAGTAATTCGATTTTTAATTAGTGGCATGTCCGATTTACAATGGGAGCCTAGCTTTGTATGATCGAGGATGAATAAGAACTTTGAAAATATTTATTTTTAATTTTTGTTTCTCTTTAAAAGGGACAGCATCAACATAGGAAATCATCACTCTCAAACACTTTTTAAGCCTAAAACCGACTAAATCTGCCACATTATGTATCATATAAATGTCATAAGGGTTGAGAATTGGGTATGTTGGAGGTCCCTTGATATTACATTCCCCTTAAAATGGAATTTTAGGAGATTAGTGCTTCTCGAAAAAGGGTAGAAGACACAAGACATGAGTGTTTTAAAGTTATTACCAGAAATTCTTGTTTCAACCCACATTATTTTGTGGAGCACTGTATAGTGAAACTGTCTAAATAATCCAACCCTTTTAAATGTTCTGTTTCTAGGACCCTGTACCATATGTCAGATACAAAAGCTGAGAAAGGAAATATTCGTCAAGATCTGATAAAGACTGCCAACCTTCTGTTTTCTCAGCTGGACACCAGCTTTGTGTGGTCTGTCTGCTCAAAACACTTTGATATTGCATGTCAGTCTGCTGCAGGCAACCCACCAAACCTTGATGTTATGGTTCTAGGGGTCGGTGAAGGAGAAACAAATATAAGAGAGATGTGTTTTATCATTAATTTCCTTCTAGAAATAGTCTCCATTGAAACGTATATAGAGACATCTAGCGAGCATTTACCTAAACTCTTTCAAAGCATGGTGCAGAGTGTCCGTCGAAGTATAAATTGGTTGGCAGGGAGTGATCTAAACGAGTGTTTGACCAGTTGTAAGCGTGTGCTGGGCAGAGTACAGCCGGCCTGGAATGTCTGGGACCTGAATGAGTCCCTACGAGGACGAACCTCCAGTGAACTGGATAAAAGTGATTTATCCGACGAAGTACTTGAAGCTACGGAGTCAACTACTGCTACTCCTGTCAAGACTAATGAGACAAATAACAACCGGTCTTCAGGGCAGCATAAAGCGTCAAGTCTCCATGATCAACTAATAAAAAAGTGCAACCAGAGTTACACAGAGATGTTCCAGGAGTTTCTAGAGTTCCGTATCCTCGAAACTCCTCTCCGAGACTGGAAGGGTATGGTGGAGTCCTCCAATACTGTCCTCCTGGATCAGAACGAGGACCTTAGTAGTATGCTAAACAGCCTCATGTCTGGAGGAACACTGGAGAGGATAGGAAGAGAGTCTGAACCTAAACTTTCTGTCAGTCTTCGATCTGGCTCAGAACTATTAACAGATGCGTTTAGTTCGGCGTGTACAGGTACTATCAATCAATCAATCAACCAATTAATCAATCAATCAACATATTGGAATGTTAAATGTTTATTCATCAAAAAAAATTAAATTAAAATCCAAAATCGATCAGACCAATCGAATGTAATCCATCAATCAATCAATTTATTAAACTATCCATCAATCAACTAAAAGAGTAATAAAATGATCAAGCATCTACTTATTTCCAGGTTTAGTTGAACTATCCTCTATGCCAAAGTACAACAAGGTAAGGGGAAATCTTAAAAAAAGGCAACCCCCACCTATTTTCTCCATATCTTCCGTTTTCCCTTCTCCATTAAATTCCCTGACAATTGATTTTTTTTCCAATCCTATAAAATATATTTTAGGCTGATGTTGAGAATGCCAATGGTGTTCTGCCCGCCTGGCTTCAGGCCCTGCTTCTGTGTGCAACTATGCAGGAAAATAAACCAATTCAATTTAGGAGTTTTAACCTTTAATCTAGAAAGAAAAAAGATTTAGAAAGTTATTTCTCAGGTTTCTTAACCAGTAAATATTTCATTTAAAATTAAAAAGTTATTCAATTGAAATTGATTTTGTTTTGGGTTGGTTATTTTTAGCTTTGAAAATTGGGCTGGTAAAAAAGTTTTTCGAGATTTAAGTACATATAAAAAAATCAAATTCGTTAATTTCACAACTTAGAATGTGGATGAATCCAAGATATCAGAATCCAACATTAGAATACAGCTGACAGCAGTTGCTACCTTGATAGAGCTGGCAAGCGTGCTGTCAACCTGTGTAGCAGCTGTCAGCAGACCCCGATCTGCTGACAATGTTGAAAGTGTTTTGGTTACAATGGATCCTTTGCTGACAACCGAACATCTTAATATTATTTGCTGGAAAATAAATAATACATTAAAAAAAATTTCCCCATTTATACCCTTTTCGCGTTTTTGACTGTTTGTCGTTTGACCCTAGGTCGTTTGACCCTATGTCGGTGAACTGTGAAATGAAATGAAATGAAAAAGATCGTGAAAGACCCCCAATGTGGAATCCCCAGACCGACATCCGTGAGAGGGTCTCAGTCAGGTCCTGATTCCCCCACCAGTTCACAAACCCTTGTTTTTTCCTCACGTTTCTATCTTAAAATATTTTCTTAATGTGGGTTCACTATGAAAGTGACTTACGGATTGTATGAAGCAAAAACAAAGCACGTAATTTACAGAAGTTAACTTTCATGATGGTAAAACGACCATATCTTCCTTATTGGTGGTCAGATATAGATTTGAGCATGTTATTTTAATACGGATGCTCTAAATCCTCAATGGCGTATAAGAATTTACAATTAAGAGCATAATTCCACTTTATATTTGTGAAAATATAATTAGATAATATTTAAACCAAGGTTGATCGCCACAAGTCTCTGGAACAATCTTGGTCTTGTTCCCTCTGTTTATCATCTACAGTGTGTCACACTGCTTCACAGGTGGGTTGGTTCTTTGGTTGGTTGGTTGGTTGGTTGTTTTGTTGTTTGGTTGGTTGCTTGGTTAAATGGTTGGTTGGTTGGTTCTTTGGTTAGTTAGTTGGTTGTTTGGTTGCTTTGTTAAATGGTTGGTTGCTTGCTTGCTTGCTTGCTTGCTTGCTTGCTTGCTTGCTTGCTTGCTTGCTTGCTTGGTTAAATGGTTGATTGGTTTGTTTGATTTGGTTGATACCTTGCTTTATTGTTTGTAGGTTGGTCGGTAGATTAAGTTGAACCACTGCCCTCTTGAACTTGAACCGGAGCAAAAGAGTTCAACTTCATCTACTTAGTTCAATTCCTTCTCACTATTAATTAAATTTGGACCTTGATTAGATTACTGGAGCTGGCTCCGCAAGCCTCCGTTGTTGAGAATGTAGTAGCTGAGAGCCTCCAGGCTTCCATCTCTGGATCCTCCGTCAACGTGTTCCGGAGGTTTTCTCAGCTCTGGCATCTCTCCAGAGATATCTCAGGAAGCAGAAAGACTTTAGATCTCTGCCTGAATAAGATGGTTTCAGGTTTTATATATTTTTATTCAGTTCGAAATTTGTTAACTAGGGTTCAGTCAAAACCCTGGTAATTGAGTCACAGGTCGTCTTTGATTACTGTTTTTAGAAAAGACGGCTACGGGCTGCCCTTATCTACTTTTTGAGAAATTGTAATGAATGCTATTGCTTAGTAGGAAACCCAGTGAAAAACATTAATTGTCACCTAAAATCAGAAAACGTTATAAAACTTAATTTCTGATACTCTTTCTGTTTCTTGAGTTTGATGACAAAACTATTAAATTCAAGAATGAAATTGATTTCTTTTGATGTTGGATTTGTTTTCAATGTGAATTAAAAATTCAATGATTTGCAGGTTTAAGATCGGATAAGAGCGCTGTTCGGACACTTTGTGAGCGTTGGGTTGAGCATTCTTTATCTCGTGGAGATACTGGTCGTCTTCTTGAACCACTTCTTCTCTCTCTTCTAGGTCAGCCATTTTAATTTTTTAGATTTATCAAAGTTCTATCTACCATCACTTTCATTAGAAAAATTTAAACATTTTCTTTGATTAATGTCAATAGTTTTCAGTTTTAATTTCTATAGATTGCTTTAACTTTTTTGTTTCTATTTTTGAGGTCGTTAAAATGTTGTTTTTTATTTAACTAACTGCATTTTTAAAATCCACCATCAAAGTTTTCTGAATGAACTTTTCTGTAACGCCTTAACCCATTCGCGTCGAAGGGCATTTTCCCAATCAAACCCGAAAACTTGAGTTAAAAAGAGGCTTGAAATTGACATTTATCCTACTTTTTTAAAAATTCCAATTGCATTGTTGAAATCTCTGTTGTGTATTTAGACCCGGCCTCTGCTCGTCTCTCTGTCCTCCACGCCAACATCAAGGAATCCCGGGCAGCCTCCAAACCTACCCCTCAATCCTCCCCGAGGCTGCCTCGTGTATTCGCCATATCCTCCTTGGAAAACAATATTATTTATCATATCACAAACTCAAAACCTGAGTGCCCACCCCCCAGGGAGGTTTATATTTAACTTAAATTTTTTAGCCAATGCCAAATTTTTTTTAAAAAATTTGAAAATTGTTGGTGAAAAATGCATTTAATTTAATGTAAAAGTTATGATTAATAATATGTTTTAGTATGTATTTCCACAATCGTTAAATTTTGTATCCAAAATGTTCAAAATATTTATTTTTTAAAAGTTTGGAAAAATTAAAAAGTTGTAAAGAACAAAAGCAATTGTTCAGGCGGAACTTGATAAAGTAGTTAAACTATATCTACTCCTTTAGGAGTGCAAGTGCACTCCTGTCCAAAGTAATAGTTCAACTATCCTTCCTTAGTTTAACCACTTCTATTCATTCTCATTTGTTTTTGAATGATAGATAAATATAAACAACCTCCGCACTAGGTCTAAGGTCCAATGCTTAAATGCTGGTTCTGAAAGTCGAACTACGCTGACCGACATGAGCCTGTTGAACCCTGAAACCTTGACCAGGTTCCCTTACGCCAAGATGTCCATGTGGGTCAACCCATTCGCCTTGGTTTCATCAGAATCAGAGTTCAATAAGGGATAAAACCATTGATTAAAATAAATCAGAATTGAGAAATTCATAAATCAAGGTTCCATAAAAGGTCGTCTTTTTTACACCGCATTTATTATTTAGCATATAATCTTTATTAATTTTACTTCGCAGCTTTCGCTATCAATATCTCTGCATGGTATTTAAATTTAAATACGACATTTAACGTTCTTATTCTATCCTGAGCTCATCAAAATTCCCTTTAAATTCAGAAGTGATAACGCAGAAAAAGTGGAATGATTACTAATTTTGGGTAATGTTGATCCGCTCTACTGCCCATCAGTCCTATTGCCCATCCGCTATACTGCCCATCCGGCCTACTGCAACATCTGACCTACGACAGCTGTAGGTCGGATGGGCATATCTTCTTGCCCATCTCGGACCTACCACAGCTGTTAAAACCACGTGCTTGTAGGTCGGATGGGCAGTAGAGGGGATGGGCGTAGGTCCAAAAATACACCATCCTAATTTTGTTCTTTCTGTAAATGAGAATGCCGCTACCGTATCCAAATTACAGTCACAAATTACAAAATCTTGATAAGTATTTTTAAAAGAAACAGCTTATGCGACAACCATACCACTGTTCCTAAGCAGATCCAAATAGGCCAAGTTAACGCTAAAATTAGCAGGTTTCTGACCTTCTAATTAGCAGCTTTTTATTATACAATTTGCCATGTCAGACCATTGGTTCTTCGCTGCTTATTAAAAATGTTTGAATGGATTGTAGGATCCAAGTGGAACTCCTGAACCCGCTGAGGAAACCCGTCCCTCCTCTCCAACCCTCTCCGAACCCTATAGTTTCTCCTCCGAGAGCGGAGCTGGAACCCCGAGGAAAGGGTCGAATACGCATCTAAGCTCAGACCACGAGAGCCAGTTTGTGGTCGCATTCATTTTAGATCTAATACTGGAGAAGGTAGAATTTTTTCTGTTCTCAACATTTTTTTTAAGTTTGAAACCTTTCTTTCGTTTTAATATATTTTTACATGAAACCCAAGAACATGATGTCCCCCCGCTCCTTTATAGTATTAAGGTATAATAAAGGCAATTATTTAAACCCCATTGTTATCATGTAAATAAATTCCATTGCGTCATTTTTATGGGTTTCGTTCCAATTATGATTATTTGTAAACATTTAAGCAAAAATATAGATAACTTCCATGTATTTAGGTTGTTTCGGAAGATCAATTCCTTCTGAAACTAGATGATCTTCAGTTCCCAGAACCTAGTAAACATACGCGGCATTCAGGTCAGACTTTAAGGGACTGTTAACGTAATTTCAAAATAGTTACCGTTGTGAATCATTGATGGTGCTCAGAATTAACTCTACACTCCGAACAATCCCATTAAAATTATAAATGAAGCTTTATGTTCACCTCTTATAAAATACCAATGTGCTAATTAAACGAATTTAATTTGTGTGTAAACCCAACCAATTTCTATATTTATTTATTCCACTATAAGTTTTGTACATACGCTAAAACCTGGTCAAATCTACAGTAAACTGTAATAGTTTCCATTTGTTGCCTTTATTCAAGGTCTTTGACTTAAAGGGTTACTCACATAGGATGAGAATAAGACGACGACTCTTCGGAATTCATTCAAAGGGTTTTTTTACATTCTTGGTTCTCTGAAACTTTTGAAACCTTCTTAATAATTTTTTTTTATATTATATTTTATAATTTAGTATTATAGGTAAAAGACCAAATTAATCCCTCAGATTCCTTTATATATTGAGTTTTAGGGATTCATTTAGGTTTCATGCTTTGTGAGCATCCCCGTAAAATCATTTCCGCCCTTTGGCGGTTATTTTTGAAGGGGAATCGGCCTCGATTTCTACGGAATGACATTTGATTATTTTGTATAGGGGTGAACCCAGTTGACAGCTCTGAAGGAGGGGTCGTTGCAGTTCATCCTCTTCACTCCCACCTGCTAATGTACTGCAAGTGTATAGACAGCAGAGCTGTACTACATACTCTACAGGTATATTCCTAATAGTGTTAGAGCTGTACTTAACACTCAATAAGTACATGGAATATTATTACTACTGTACTTAACACTCATGATAGGTACATGGAATATTAATAGAGCTGTACTTAACACTCAATATGTACATGGAATAATTTAAGTGCTGTACTTCATAATTCAGGATTGGTCCAAACCAGATATGGAAAATATTTTTGTAGTTTTAAACAGGGAATACCAGAATACAGTGGAAAAGTAAGACGACTTTTATTGGATGTTTTTGTTGTAAATGAATTAATATTTCAAAAAGTTGTTGTTTTAGTGCAAACTGCATGATTACACTACTCTGTTTTATGTTTTCTTTTATTGATCTTCAAAATTATATTCTTCCCAAAACTCGTCTTAGTATTCCACATTATTTTCGGGACCACTAACTACTTTTTATATTTATTATCGATTCGAATTTTTTTTAGTTGGAACTAATTTTAAAATTTTTATTGTCTAATCCTTATATTTTTGCAACCTGACTTTGTAGACCTTTGATTTTTATACTGCTAGATCAAACAGACAAAGTTTAAAATAATAAATTTTTAAATCACAAGTCTTTAAGATATTTGAGTTTGAGGTAAGTGATCAGTCCCTTTGCTTGTCATCTTTGAATTAACAGTGAGAACCAGAAAACTGTGGAATAGTAAGACGACATTAAAGAAGTAATTGTAGGTTTTTGATGCTGTTACAAAGCATATCGTTTAATAAAAAAACTTAAATTGTTAAAAAGGGTCTGTTTGCACTACAAAATTGCTGTGTCCCATGTGCATATATAAAGTTCATTGGACAAAATAATTTAAAGTCTAAAAGTCGTCTTCCTATTCTAGATTCTGGTTCTCACTGTATCAACGTAAACAATTTTCATCTTTGAATATTTCAGGCTTTGTCAAGTATTTTATCCGACGTTAGGCTTCAATAATGTCAGGCTGTCAGGGATTGTGACTGCATACCCCGGTCATATCAGGGAGCTATTAGACAATCCCTGGCTTCTTGATTTCATTTGATTTGAACGAAAACCATTTTCATCCTTGAATATTTCAGGCTTTGTCCAGTATTTTATCCATTCATCCTCGTCTTGCAGTCTCCAGCCTTGCTACAACAGGAGTAGCCAGTCCTTCACTTACAAGGTTATATACATTATACATTATACATTATACAGCCTTGCTACAACAGGAGTAGCCAGTCCTTCACTTACAAGGTTATATACATTATACATTATACAGCCTTGCTACAACAGGAGTAGCCAGTCCTTCACTTACAANACAGTTTTTTTTTAGTCTTTTTACATATCTTAAATATTGCAGTCTAGGTCTTCAATATGTATTCTAGGTCTTCATTATTGTATTCTAGTCCATCAATATTGTATTCTAGGTTTTCACTATGAATTCTAGGTCTAAATTATTGTATTCTAGTCCATCAATATTGTATTCTAGTCCATCAATATTATAATCTAGTCCATCTATATTGTATTCTAGTCCATCAATATTGTATTCTAGGTCTTCAATATGTATTCTAGTCCATCAATATTGTATTTTAGTCAATCAAAGTTCTACATCAAACGTCAAGTTTTTAATTCGTTTTGATACTTGTCCCTCAAAATTCATTTGTTTCTCTTTAAAAATTATTTAAGTTCGACCATTATGTAAATATGCATTAAGCTCCTCCAAAAAAATATATTCAGCTCCGCGCAACCATACCTAACTATGTAGGGTTGTATGGTTGTAATGGTTCTTATTGTTACAGTGTGTCCCATCAAACATTTTTGCTTAAATATTGCGGCATTTTTTGTCTAGTTTAAAGTATTATTCTTGAAACAAATGTCACACAAATCCCGGCATTTACAAAATTACCGGAGAATTGCTCGGATTTAAATTTTATTAATTTGAGCGAAAATTGTCGAAAAATATATTTTTTAAGATGCTAAGAAAATAGTTAAAACGTTAATCATTGAAAATCTGTTCAATTATATATATGAATCATTATAAATATATATTTGTTTGTTATAGCTTACAGCTGGCCAAACGGCTGGACTAATTGGCTGACCCATTGGTACCCATTGGATAAAAAATTGTTGAAATGAATTATATTCCTCTGGTAATGCTGGGCACGTGAGCCTAAATCATAATTATTCATTTAATACCAAACACGGGTAAAAGGACTGGATTGCTTGGACTAAAAATATTGGGCAACGCCCAAGCACCACAGCTATTTTTAGATATGTTCATTTATTTCAAATCTTTCAGATCCGTTCAATTGGTTCAACTAATGGCTCGTCATAAAAGATCTATTTTTGGAAAAGGATTTTCTTCTCCTCTTCCTTCGGACAGTACTTCACAGTATAGGTAATAGTCTCTTTACTGTGTTGTGTTCACGTAACACAGTACAGGTAATAGTATCTTTACTGTGAGTGTTGTGTACATGTGACACAGTTCAGGTATTAGTCACTTCTGTGTTGTGTACATGTAACACAGTTCAAGTAATAGTCACTTGACTGTGTTATGTACAATGTTGTTAAAATAAATTCGAAATATAAGGAAGACGATTTTTCCGACTCAAATGCCGTAGCCTTTTCTCTAGATGTATGTGTACTCAAGATCCATTTCCTCCATGTAGTGCCCACAAGTCAAACCCCGCTTCTTCTCCCCCCCCCCCTTCTACAGATCCCAGCCCCGGCAGTCAGCTATAAACACTCAAGACATTCACAACTCCGTCTCAACCCTGGCTCCTCCATGATAATGATTCAGATACAGAACTAACAGCAGAAGACACTGCTTACACCTAGCTCCGCACTCCACAATGTTCCAGAGATCCGGGCGGAACCAGACTTCCTTCCATTATCCTGTATACAGGATAAGTCCGCAATCTCTCTCCCTTAGACTAAGCCTAGTTGTGAGTAAGCCTGCCGTCAAGATTGATGATCTGCACCACCATCATGAAGTTCTACAAACACCTCCAATTGATATTCATCTATAGTTTCTTTATTAATTTCTAAACCAACCAATTTCCAACCCTGTCTAGGGAAAATATTTCATAACCTTTTCGTTTTATTAAATAAAGATTAGAAATATCCTTTTAGATCTCTTTTATTTTATCGTATTGACTTTTTTAAAGTCAACAAATGTACATGTAACAGTTCAGGTAATAGTCACTTGACTGTGTTATGTACAATGTATATGTAACAGTTCAGGTAATAGTCACTTGACTGTGTTATGTACATCTAACACAGTTCAGGTAATATTCTCTTTACTGTGTTGTTTTACATGCAACACAGTTCAGGTAATAGTCACTTGACTGTGTTATGTACAATGTACATGTAACAGTTCAGGTAATAGTCACTTGACTGTGTTATGTACATGTAACACAGTTCAGGTAATATTCTCTTTACTGTATTGTGTACATGTAACACAGTTCAGGTAATATTTTCTTTACTGTGAGTGTGTTTTGTACATGTAACACAGTACAGGTAATAGTCTCTTTACTGTGAGTGAGTTGTGTTTATGTAACACAGTACAGGTAATAGTCTCCTTACTGTGAGTGTGTTGTGTACATGTAACACAGTACAGGTAATAGTCTCTTTACTGTGTTGTGTACATGTAACACAGTACAAGTAATAGTATCTTTACTGTGAGTGAGTTGTGTTTATGTAACACAGTACAGGTAATAGTCTCTTTACTGTGAGTGTGTTGTGTACATGTAACACAGTACAGGTAATAGTCACTTGACTGTGTTGTGTACAATGTTGGACATGTAGCACAGTTTTTTTTTAGTCTTTTTACATATCTTAAATATTGCAGTCTAGGTCTTCAATATGTATTCTAGGTCTTCATTATTGTATTCTAGTCCATCAATATTGTATTCTAGGTTTTCACTATGAATTCTAGGTCTAAATTATTGTATTCTAGTCCATCAATATTGTATTCTAGTCCATCAATATTATAATCTAGTCCATCTATATTGTATTCTAGTCCATCAATATTGTATTCTAGGTCTTCAATATGTATTCTAGTCCATCAATATTGTATTTTAGTCAATCAATATTGTATTCTAGGTCTTCAATATTGTATTCTAGTCCATCTATATTGTATTGTAGTCCATCAATATTGTATTCTAGTCCATCAATGTTGTATTTTAGTCCATCAATATTGTATTCTAGGTCATCAATGTTAGTGGAGGTGGTTCTGACTATCTGCCTGTATTACCTAAGATCCTATTACCCTGGAATACCTGGATTGACAAGGTAATATTTTTTCTGTACTTTAAATATGATGAAAATAAGTTTTGTTTGATTGTGAACAACATTGAACATTTTGTAATCACACGGCTAAATATGTTGTGCGGCAGGAGCACATGATAATTTGTATCCATCATACATTATACCTCTAAAACTCTTGGTCCCTGAGAAGTCCAGCAAATGTTTTATGTATACTATTATGAACATTTAAAAGGTTGTCAAGTCATATCCAGAGATTTAACATTTGTCCAGATGTATATAGTTAAAACCCGCTTCTTATCTCTGGGGAAGGGAATTAAACATAAAGGTCAAGTTTTTTAATCTTTTGATACTTTTATCAAAAAACTATTTTTTTCCCATTAAAATTATTTATTTACTCCAATTCAGCGAATTAACCAGAAAAAAAACATGCCTAATATCTGAGGGGAACAATTGTTAACAGGGTGAAACCGTTGTTAACAAGGGGAAACAATTGTTAACAGGGTGAAACAATTGTTAACAGGGTGAAACAATTGTTAACAGGAGGAACAATTGTTAACAGGGTGAACAATTGTTAACAGGGTGAAACAATTGTTAACAGGGGGAAACAATTGTTAACAGGGGGAAACAATTGGTAACAGGGTGAAACAATTGTTAACAGGGGGAAACAATTGTTAACAGGGGGAAACAATTGTTAACAGGGGGAAACAATTGGTAACAGGGTGAAACAATTGGTAACAGGGTGAAACAATTGTTAACAGGGTGAAACAATTGGTAACAGGGGGAAACAGTTGTTAACAGGGTGAAACAATTGTTAACAGGGAAACAATTGGTAACAGGGTGAAACAATTGTTAACAGGGTGAAACAATTGTTAACAGGGTGAACAATTGGTAACAGGGTGAAACAATTGTTAACAGGGTGAAACAATTTTGAACAGGGTAAAACAATTGTTAACAGGGTGAAACAATTGTTAACAGGGTGAACAATTGGTAACAGGGTGAAACAATTGTTAACAGGGTGAAACAATTGTTAACAGGGTAAAACAATTGTTAACAGGGTGAAACAATTATTAACAGGGTGAAACAATTGTTAACAGGGTGAAACAATTGTTAACAGGGTGAAACAATTATTAACAGGGTTAAACAATTGTTAACAGGGTGAAAGATTTTTATAAAGAAAATATGCACCCTGCTGTTTTCACTTCAATGTTTCTAGGGAGGAGGTTTTGGGGAACAGAGAGGTTCAGTTAACAGCGGTATCTTTACTGAATAAGGTAGGTTCAGTATACCAGGTGTCCCACTTAACAATCTAAAGAATGATATACACTGAACAGGGTGTCCAACCTGTGAATGACCAACTTTGAAAAATGAAAATTTACTTTAATTCAAGTTGAAATTTTTTCTATGATAAAATACCCTTAATAAATGAGAAGGCCCATATTTCACTAATTAATATAAAATATGTCAGATATTTCAAGTCATCTATGAATTGTTACATTTAATGGTTAAATGGTTAAATTTTGTGATCATTTTAATATGTATTCTATAGCGATTGTCAGTTATATCGATGTTTTGTATTACATGCTATTGTTGAGACTACTGTACTCAAAATAAAAGCTTATATAAAACGAATTGAAAACAAAATTAATTCCTGATTTGTTGATTCACTGATTTGATTTTTGGAATATTTAGGTATGCCACTTTTGATTGATCCATAGGTCTTCAATAGAATGTGTTCAAATATGATTATTATATTATGAATTTACGTTCACAATATTTATTCTTTTTCTATCCAATGTTTCTGTATTCAAAACATTCGTCTCCGCCTGCGCTGGCTAATTAAATCAAAGCAAAAAAATGTGGTTCTATGGAGGACAGTTGAAATCAAATAATAAGACATATCGGATAGAGATATATAAAATAATCCTTAGTTGTTCTCACAGGGACTTTGATGATTTTATTTAAAGGATTTTCTTTTGTTTAGATAACGAGTGAGTTGATACTGATAGTGAAGGACAATGGGAAACCATTTGCATTGTTCGTCAGTGATCTCTTCCATAGAACTAAACTACAGAAGGTGCAGATCAAATATTTTACATTTTAGTCTTTTTGATAAAAAGCGGAATTCTTTCTTTTAATAACCTATCTTAAATGTTTGGACTCTGCACTTGTATGGCCAAACCTTGAATTTAATTGGGTTTTTTTTCCAAAAACCTCAGGAAAAATTAAAGTAAGCAAAATCACTTAACTTTACATGGTTCTTTAACAGTCGTGTTGACACATGGGGAGTATATTAAAGGAAAACAAAAGTGGGTTTAAAGCTTGGGAAGCTTTTTTTTTAACTTAAAATTCAACAATTTGAAATGTGAAATCAACATACTAAAGGTGGATAACGATTGTTTGAGCCTTGAGGACTCATAATTGATGTTTTCCTGTTATAAAATAATGATATAATCTCACCCTATTCTACATATTTTAGGTGATACTTCATAGTTTACTGTCGGGATTTATTGTTATTGTTATTGTTATTGTTATTGTTATTGTTATTGTTATTGTTATTGTTATTGTTATTGTTATTGTTATTGTTATTGTTATTGTTATTGTTGTTATGATTATTATTATTATTTTAATTAATATTGTTATTGTCTTTGTTTTTGTTTTTGTTTTTGTTTTTGTTATTTTTGTTTTTGTTATCATTTTGTTATAGTTGTTGTTGTTAATGTTATTATTTGTATTATTACTATTATTATTATTATTGTTTTTTTTACAGACGACTTATAAATTATTTAGCACAGCATTTTAAAATGTTTTGTTAACTCTAGAAGTATGAGGATACAGACCTATAATGTTTTGTTAACTCTAGAAGTATGAGGATACAGACCGACCCCGACTTCCCTACATAGACTCCAATGTGATGAAGTACACCCCGGAGTACCCGTTCTCGGAGCAACCAATGTTTTTAGCAGCAATTCTTTCAGCTCTTCGGCAGCATCAGCTTAGGTAAATGAGATTCAAACTTTTCCACGTTTATAAGGGTTATTTATCATATTTATTAATTAAAAAATCAAAAATTTAGAATCTTTGCTCGATGAAAAATGCTCTCAGGAAGATACCATGAAAAAGTACCTTACATTATTATGTTAATATTAAAGAATTTAGATTTGAAACTTAAATCTTTTTAGAGATTTGCATCATCATTGGTCTGGTCTAGTCATATCCTGTCTACCTTTTCTAGGAACTGCCCTTACACAGGTCAAAACTTTTTTACAAATCTTTATCACGTTTAGGATCTGGTCTTTATCATCCACCTTAATCTGCATCTAGAGGCCAACACTTCAGTATTTTTAATCTGTTCATAACGCGCTGAGTTGATTCCCCTCCTGTTTTAATTAAGTCTTTGGACACTGCCACCGATTTCTTGGGGAATTTTCTGTATATATCCTTAGTAGAATTGAAATCTTTCAATATGAAAGATTATGCTGTGGATATTTATTTCTTCCGATGTTGGTTAGCGCTATCCCAATTATCAGGTTTAGTCTCAGAAATAAAAAAGAAAATTGGGCCAATATAACAATAAAACAATAAGGTCTAAAAACTTTTTGAAAAGTATTTAGAAAAATTTAGAAATACTAATTTTTGTTATTTAAAGGTCGTTACAAGTGTGTCAGCACAAATTTGGAACAATTTGGAAAATTTAGCTAATCTGGCAACTAACCGGTAAGCATTTGGTGATTTTTCATTGCTTCAGGCTTTCTTATTGAAAATTGCATTTTCTTACAATCATTCAACTTTCCCTTTTTCATTTTATAAAAAGTGCATGTTTTGGATTTTGGTTCAACTAGGTTTTTTTTTAATGAAGATTAATTCTCAATTTACATTTAATGTTTAGTGATATCTACCAAAGTGTACCTAGTGACTATGTGCTGACCCAACTGGAAGCATTGGGTCAAATTCTGTCCTACTGTTTACTAGAAGGAGGACAGGGGGGGCTGTCTAGTGGACCCCAACCCAACCTTTCAGCTTCTCATCAGAACAGTATTGTTGCCAACCTTGTTCATGTGTTTGGGGGTCCGGTCAATCCATCAAGACAGCCAGCAAGTAAGGAACAGCTACTTTCAGCAAGACGAAGTTTGTTGTCAATGACCCCTAGACTGGTCCTGGCTCTGATAGCGCTTTGGAACTCAGTGAGTAAAAGCTCTGATCAGAAAAAGACTAATTGGTTGGTTGGGAGCAGCAAAGCTGTTAAAAATATGATTCTAGATCTTCTCTCTCCCATAGCTACAATTCATCCAACTTACCTTCTGTCTGCTGTAGCAGTGGCCTGGGCTGAGAAGGGGATAAACCTAGACCTGAACCGGAAGGTGCTGGTGGAGTTGGTAACATCATTACGGATGTTTCCAACCTCCACAGTATTATCAACGATGAGACTGGTTCTCAAATCTCCGCCTCCAGTGTCTGGTAAAGGAACCCTGAGTCTTGAAGTTTCAAGTCTACAATTCCTGTCCTCCTATCTCTCCTCTACCTCGCCCACTACCCTGGCGGAGTCATGGAACTCACTCAAGGACTTGTTAAAAGACTGTTTATCTCTAGCTCCACCCTCCGTATTCCTCGCTTTAGAAATCCTTCATCAAGTTGTTGTGAGCGGTGTGGCTGCTAACCTAGAGAAAAGGGATTCAAGAGAACTGCAGGTAGCGATGTGCCTTTCGTTGTTTTGTTTTTGGGTCGTTTTTAGCCTTTATTGTCTTTCGGGGTCAAAAATTTGCATGATTATTAACTTTTTTATTTTAAACATTTGCTGTTCTGACACTAACCCTGGCAGAAAATAAATGAAAAAAAACGATACAAAAACGAACAACTTTTAACGATCATTTTTGGACCGATTTTTAACATTTTTTAAGGCAGAACATATTGCAAAGTTAAATAAAGGCAAACTTTAAAATAATACAATTTTGAAATCTTGAAAGTTTTATAAATATTTTTTTAAACAAACCTAAACGATTAACAAGACTAACTGCAGGAGATGGCGGGGAAGCTGATTGAGTGCGTGTCTGGGATAGCAGGCTCAAGATTAGAAGCGGGAACCTGGCTTAGAGGAATCAGAACTGTTAGAACAGATATACAGGTTAAAGGGACTCTACACGTCATTTATTGACAAGGGTGCTAAAATACTTTCCTCTATTATCTGAATTTTATAAATTTCAATTCTAGTTTTCTAGAAAGATGAAAATTGATAATTTCTTTAAACAGATAAACGAGATTATCCTCATAAAGCATTGTATCCATTTAAAAAAAAATTTGTTTCCAAAAATAGATAGATATTGTAGATTATTATTATTTGCAGGATGAGGGGCGGGAGGATGCTACTAAATATGCTGCTCAGGCTCTGACTATTCTGGGTCAGCACATGGCAACAATCCTAGATATCATTTTTCAATCAGAGGAGAAAGAAAAGGAATGAGATGCATGCTTAGTATTCAAATTACATTTATTTGATGAATTGTCATCACTGAGGTCAGTTCTTTTGTATGAGAGCACTGGTCCTTTTACCGAAAAGGGAACATTAATATGAAACAATTTAGCGCTGTAAAAAACAGCCGACTTTTCTGAAGGAATCAAATCATACAAAAGTTTCAACCTCTTGTTAAAATGTTAACAAAATGATAATGATTGACAATAATGTTTTATGTTAGATGTAAAGGTGTGGCGGATATGAATATCGTCTTCCTGAATAATTCTAGAAATCCAAGGAGGAGTTTCTCGATCAGCTGATATATAAAACATGTGTTAATCATTCAATTATTTTTACTATATAAGTTAAGATTTTAAATAAAGTTAATCGTTGAGTAACTCTTTTCCTTTATTTATTGATTATTAGTTAATCTGCATCTTCTACTATAGGTGTTACCCTTACTAACCGGTGTGATGTACAACACAGTTCCTTATCTAAGGAACCATTCTAAGGTAAACCCAAGGAGTATGGAATATAAGGGGGAAGGAATTGACCCGGCCCGCCATACCATTTAATTATACATGCTTTGCAGATGGTACTCCATTTGAATAAGCAATATTTGTCTGATGTACAAACACCGCGTATAATACATGTATTCAGAATAGGTTATTGTACTCATTAAAAAGTGAAAAAAGTAGGCTCAATTACGCCAAACAAACACATTTCTTTGGGATGCAAAAATATTTGGCATTACAAACATATTTTTTTACAGGGTGTCCCACGAAACATGACAATTGGTGAATAGTTTTTAATGTCTTCTTCAATATGCTGTATTAGATATTAAAGACTTAATGTAGTTCATTTTGTTAAAAAATCTTTTATTCAAATGTATTTTACGTTGAAATTAATTTTACTTTAAGATGACTCCCATACAATATTTTTTATTATTCTCTTTCGTATCAAACAACTTAACAAATTATGAAAGAAGGCATTTTAAACCATTCACCAACTGTCATGTTTCGTGGGACACCCTGTATAATAAGATAAATTGGGAACTAAAATTGTTGGTCATTAGAAATAAAATAGAAAAGAAATTTATAAAAAAATCGATTTTATTAAATATGTTATTTTAAAAATTGACATTTAAAAATTAAAAGACGACCTTAAAAACTATTTTTCAAATGGAGCACCGTCTGCAAAGCATGTACAATCATATGGTAGGGCGGGCTGGGTCGATTCCCCAGAGCCGGTAATCCCGGTTTCATCATTCAAGAATGGGGTAAGGGAATTATGTAGATACCAATTATTTTTGTTAAGAAATGTTACGGCTTTTAAATTCTCTTATTAGTTTTTATTTCTCAAATAAAGATACTGTCTCAAACTGGCTCTGGATCAATATTTTCCCTTATTTAGTAGAAACAAAAAATGTAATTACCTGAACCTTTCAGTCATACTTCAGTTACAATGGCTAATTACATAATTCTTCGTGGCATTTCTTTATTAACAGAAAGAAGAAATCCGACCTTTTCCTGTAAAATTCATTAAGATCATTACTTTTCCCCAGGTGGTGATAATTTTCTAAAAAAAATACATTTTTATTTTAATTTGTATATATTGTAAGAACCTGAGAGGGACATGTATAATTGTATCAATTAAAAGGTGATCAGTGATCACACTGTCTTAAAAATGGCGCCAAGACAGCGACTCGTAAACATTCTTTCAAAAATTAGCGCCAAAAATGGACGGGAAAAAAGAAACAATAAAAAAAGAACATGGAGGAAGGAGAAAAAAGATTAACAATTTGAAATAATTAACTATGGATTTAAAAAAAAAAAATTCATTTTAAAAAGTTGTAAAAAATTTAATTGCAAGGTTGGAATGAGTATGTTGCGAGGAGGTGCCCAGGTACTAGCAAGCGTATCCGAGTATCCATATACCCGGAAATCCTGGAGGAAGGAAGGGATGGAACTACTCCTAGATCCAGCATTCTTCCAGATGGATCACGAGTCTTTAAGGTATATATATTTCATGAGGGGGTTGAAAGAAAAAATTGTATTTAAAGGGATTGTAAGCGTAAAATCAAGTGACCCTTCATGCAAAGCTGACAACGCCTAATTTACAACGGTACCCTTAAAAGACTTGTCTCGTCAAATATGCATTAGATATCCATGTTTTGCTCATTTAATCTGTTCATTTTTATTTGTGGTTTCTATAAAAAAGTGACTTGGGCATTTCTTACTCTAAAACAACCGAGATAAAATCTGAGTTGAACATTTTTTCTTTCACATTCTTGATCAGATTAAGGTTTCAAGGGTACCATGGTTAATCAGGCATTGCTCTCTTTGCATAGAGGTTCACCTATTAATTACGCTTCCAGAGCTAACCCTTTTAATTGTCTTTTATCAGCTTAATTCAAGTATACTTGTCAATGCACACTCCCAAGGTATTTTAGATTTAACAAATTGTGGCTTCTGCAATAAACTGAAGCTTAAGTTTTTTCTCAATTTTTTCGCAGAATTTACATTTATCTTTTAGGTTTTGGAAAACTACGACCGATAATTTGATGACTCATGATAAGATCACATTTAAGGTAGTATTAACATTTAATGGATAAACAAATTCAACTTTAAGGTAGTATTAACATTTAATGGATAAACAACTTCAACTTTAAGGTAGTATTAACATTTAATGGATAAACAACTTCAACTTTAAGGTAGTATTAACATTTAATGGATAAATAGCTTCAACTTTAAGGTAGTATTAACATTTAATGGATAAACAACTTCAACTTTATAGTTTTATTTATTTTTTTCCTTCTGGAGAAGACTTCCGTCTCATTTAGTCTTTTTTAATTTTTTCATTTCCGTCTCACGATTTTTTTGAAATATCGGAATTTTTTAGGTTGTCTTCTTTTTTGTTAAAATATCAAACAATGAAATACTATTTTGAATCTATATGGCTTTTAAGACCAATTATTATCCCAAAACCAGTTTTGGTTTGGTGTTTTTTTTTAACCAAGAATTTGTTCAGTTTACTGAGGTATCGGACAAATATGCAAATCATGCATCAAAGTTTTTATATTATATCTAAGTGAACACATTTTGCAGAGTAGAATAAACCAAAAATTACAGAGTATATCATGCATATTTAGAAATAAACCTTCTCTATGGAATCGAGTCTTTAGGGATTCGAAAGTTTGAGTTTGTGGCAAAGGCTCAATTCCTTTAGTGTAGTTTGATGTAAAAGGGCCAAAAAATACACTGATTTAGAATAATGCCCAACATCACGTCGGACTTTTACAGACAAGGACGATAATATGTTGATTATATGCTAATTAGACGTTTTCCTGTATTAACAGCATAAGACAGTCCAACATATCCTTGTTCTCCAGTAATGTGTTGATTATATGCTAATTAGACGTTGTCCCGTATTAACAGCATAAGATAGTCCAATATATACTTGTTCTCCAGTAATATGTTGATTATATGCTAATTAGACGTTTTCCTGTATTAACAGCATAAGATAGTCCAATATATACTTGCTCTCCAGTAATATGTTGATTATATGCTAATTAGACATTGTCTTGTATTAACAACATAAGATAGTCCAATATATACTTGTTCTCCAGTAATATTTTGATTATATGCTAATTAGACGTTGTCCCGTATTACCAGAACTGTCCAACATATCCTTGTTCTCCAGTAATATGTTGATTATATGTTAATTAGCTGTTGTCCGTATTAACACCATAATATAGTCCAACATATCCTTGTTCTCCAGTAATATTTTGATTATATGCTAAGGAGCTCTTGTCTCGTATTGCCAGTTTAGGACAGTCTAACATATCCCTGTTCTCTAGAAATATGTTAAAAATATGTTTAGGAGTTATTGTCTCGTATTGCCATTCAAGGACTGTCCAACATATACCTGTTCTCCAGTAATATGTTGAATAAATGTTTAGGAGATGTTATCCCGTATTGCTAGCCTAGAACAGTCCAACATCTTCTTGTTCTTCAGTAATATGTTGATTATATGTTTAGGAACTATTGTCTCGTATTGCCAGCCTAGGACAGTCCAACATCTCCTTGTTCTCTAGTAAAGAGCAGGAACAGGAACAGCGGGCCCTGCTTCTTAAACGTTTAGCTTTTGTTATCTTCTGCTCAGATGTTGATCAGTATCAGAAGCAGATGCCGGATATAACAGGTAAATCATAATAAATTGGTTTGATTTAATTTGATTTGAATTGATTTGATTTGATTTGATTGATTTCATTTCATTTCATTTCCATTTGTTTCATTTGATTTGATTTGATTTGATTTGATTTGATTATTTGTTATGTTTCTGCCTCAGTCCGATAGTTCTGTTTAGATCGATTATCTGAATGCCTGCGTACTGTTCCTGTATCTCCAGCTGTACAAGCAGCTGTTTTTCTTTGTTTCAGAGTCATTCTTCTGCGCATGTCAGGTAATGCGCGCATATTCACGTCAAACTTAAGTAAATTTTACTTTAGGTTAAAATCATTCATATTTTCAATTGACACTCTTCTTGTTGGAGAACTACAGAGAAGAATACAAAAATTGAATTTCTAGTATGTACCTTTGATTTTTTGATATTTGAACGCAAAATAAAAAATATTGAGCTATGAGGTCACAAAGTGGGAACAGTATTTAGTAATGTCGCATAAACTTCTGTCGAGGAGAGCGTGGATTATTTGAATTTTTTTTAAAAAAATTGTATGATTTGTTCATCACGAGTTTATAAAGTAATTAGTTGAGAGGTGAAAATACACTGTACAGTGTTTATGAATTTTTAAAAAAATAATCATTAAATACTTTTCGCCCTAACATTTCCAAATTATGATCGACATTTTTTTGAGATTTCCAGTTCTTTCCAACAACAAAATCTTTTTTTTGTAAAACAATGAAGAAAACAAAATATTTTCGAAAGTTTATAAGTCTTACAACCTGTTCATGATTTACTCTTTGTCATTAGATAGCTAATGAATCAACGTCTTATTTTCATGATTAGTGGGGACCCCTGTTTGTTATTATTGTTAATCTGGGTAACTAAGAACTTGATCAAATCTGATTTATTACAGCGGTACATGTAACGTTCTTGTGGCCTGTAATAATTACTGAGATGGTTCAAGTATTCTCCTATATTGAGCAGGAACTAATCTCAGAATCCCCACAGTTCAGGTAGAAATGAAAACTGAAGTAGTAGATTCTTGTTCTCGGTACTGGGTAGGCAACTAAGCTGGAAACTTTTCTTAATCCTCTCAGATTGGTAGAATTCAAAGTACTTTAGTGGACAAAGATTATGATAATCTTAAGATTAACAAAAAGAGGAGATCAAGCAATGATCTCCATATCCAAGATTCTAAAGTTTTCAGCTCTAGTTGGTTGTTTTTGGATCGTTTCTTGCCTATATTTTCTATCAGTATCCAAATTTGACAAAATGTAAGTAAAATAATTTTTTTTTTCTAACCATTTGCGTTTCTTTCATGATAGAAAAAAATTGGCTATAAACAACCCAAAAACGAACATTTTTTAAAGATTGTTTTTGAATCTTTTTTTATTTTTATTTTTTTAGAATTTAGATGTTGCCAAGTTTAATGAAAGTAAATGGATTTTTTACCGATATCTATTTTACTTCAATCATTTTTTTTTGTTTTACAAATTGACTTGCATACAGTAAAAACCCGATACCGAATTAAATGAATTTGAGAGTTCGCTTAACTACCATATCCGGTTCAAATCCTAATTTACCGATTCAAATTCTTATGAATCTTGCATGATTTGTAATTTACAACTCATCTTCTAAATTTTGATCTGAACATGTTCAGAGATACATTAGTTGCAACATTTTCAAATTACAAACTTATTAAGTATTTTCTTAAGTAAAAGTAAAAGCATAGACGACATTTATTCCAAAGTTTTTTGGTTCTTGCTGTATGACAAATAACAATAATGATTCTTTGCCGTTTTGAGAAGATTTTTGACATCTTCAACCCTTTATTTGACTAAATCTATTTTTATTCAAACTTTTTTAATTGTTGTGATAAAATTATTGTAAAAAATATATTCTATAAAAAGTATATTTTGCATGCTAACACGGTGGTGGAAACTAGCTTTTACTATTGTACACTGTACAGGGATAAGAAGAGGTAATTATATCATGCTATGCAGATTTTTCTAAAATAATGTGGAATATAAAAGACGACTTCATAATTGTGAAACCGGGTAACTGGTACAATAAACGTTACTGTTTATTTTGTTTTCACATTGTTTGACATTTTTGTTAACTAAATAAAAAATCCAGTAAAACTGTTGTCCCTTCTTTTAATTCTACTTTATTATGGAAACCACTATATAATCTATCTGTATATGCAAAGTAGTAATCTCTGTTTTTTGTCCGATCAGAACTCAGGAACCCCTTGAACGATTAGACTCAACTTTTGATTTGGGAAGCTCGGTAGAAGCTGCAGTTCTAAATTTATTTTGTTTACAATTATACATAGAGAGTTGTACTCCTAAGCTAGATATATTACAGTGATAACTAGAAAACTCTGGAATAGGAAGACGACTGTACAGCAATACTTAAATGTAATTGATGTTGTTACAAAGCAAAACAATTTACTGAACATTTATTAAATCAATAATTCAGTGAAATGGGTCTGTTTACGCTGCAAAATTGCTTTTTCGATGCTCATTGGTCAATTAAAAGTTCTAAGTTAAGCAGCCTAAAAGTCGACTTCATATTTCAGTATTTTTAAAGTTATAACTATATGTTAAGCAATATAACCGGAGGCCGAATTTAAAGAATTTAAGTCGCGTCTTAAATCCACCAAAACCCGGTTTAAATTGAGCGCCGGCTTAAATCTTGAAACATTTGATACAATTTTAAGTGAAACCAACCATAATTAAGCCGCGGCTTACATTTAAACCGCTGCTCAAATTCTTTAAATTCGGCCACTGGTGTGTTTTTAACAGAAAAATTAATAAGAAGGAAAATCTAACTGGGTCTAAGTGTGCGGGTTTTGGCATGAATCTTAAAGTCCAAAAAAGGTCAAAATACAAAAAACTAAGTCTGAGTTAAACGATTATGGGATATAACATTTCAATCAATGAAGGCAGGATTCCTACTTCTATTAATAAATGTATTTATATATCAGTTCTCACCTGAAGCGTGTTTCAACGATGGACTCTAGTTGGGTAGCTGCTGCAGCTCCTGGTCTTCAAGCACACAATTCTCCAGCCTGGCTTGGAGTATACCTTGCTGTGTGTAAACTACTAGACCAGGTATACCTTGCTGTGTGTAAACTACTAGACCAGCTATATTTTGCTTTGTGTAAACTATTAAACAAGGTATACCTTGTTGTGTGTAAACTACTAGACCAGGTATACCTTGCTGTGTGTAAACTACTAGACCAGGTATACCTTGCTGTGTGTAAACTACTAAACCAGGTATACCTTGCTGTCTGTAAACTGCTAGACCAGGTATATCTTGCTGTAAACTACTAGACCATGTTTACCTTACTGTCTGTAAACTACTAGACCACTTTGCTGTCTGTAAACTACTAGACCAGGTAAACCTGGCTGTAAACTACTAGACCATTTATACCTTGCTGTCTGTAAACTTCTAGACCAGGTATACCTTACTGTCTGTAAACTACTAGACCAGGTATATCTTGCTGTCTGTAAACTACTAGACACAGGTATACCTTGCTGTTTGTAAACTAATAGACCAGGTATATCTTGCTGTCTGTAAACTACTATACAAGGTATACCTTGCTGTATGTTAACGACTAGACCAGGTATACCTTGCTGTGTAAACTACTGGACCAGGTTGAACTTATTTTAGTTTGAAATAAATGATTGAGAATTGATTTAAAGCTAGACAAGATGATTTTAATTTTTATATTCTGAGAGAAAACTTATAAATTATTCGTCATGAATGTCATAAATTCCTTTCTCAACCTGACGGCCCTGAGAACGCCTTAGTAACTAACATGGCTAGTTTTTCATTTTATTTAGGCGGTTGCCCTTCCTGCCTCTCTTCTTCCTCAGTTTCAGATGTATAGATGGGCCTTTGTCAGGTATTCAATTCAGGATTTAAAGTTTAGATTTGGGAAATTCAGTTAATTGCTTCGATATTTGATATTTGTTAATTTTTGTTCTGTTCTTGCGGTGATATTCGTGTTTTTTGTTTGTTTTATTGTTATTTTTCCTTTATTCTGTTATTTTATCATCAATGATTACATGTAATAGGTAATGCAATGAAAACATATTGGTTCTTGAATTCACACAGTCTCACGCTTCTGAATCTGGAGAAAGGGGTTGGTTTAGTATTCTTGTTCTATCTGCACCATGGTACCATTTAAACCTTAATCTAGACCAAAAAGTGATGATGTCTTTGTCTTTCTATCTAGCAAATGATGATTTTAGATTAGTAAAAAAGTAGAAATTTCTAACAGATAGAAAAGTAGAAATTTCTAACAGATATAAAAAAGTAGAAATTTTCTTACAGATAGAAAAACGACGATATCTTCTTCCCCTATTGTTGCTCTGATAAAAGTTAAAAGGGTACCATTGTAAATCGGACATGCATCTATATGCTGACAGTCCCTTTAAAAGAATCTTACATGTTTAACTAAGAGCAAAAATTGAAGAATTTTTAGGTTAGTTGACATTTTCTTTATTTACCAGGGAAGGATCCTGTCCCCAGTCCCAACTTCAGAACGGTCACAGCGATTCAAACAGTCAACATGGGTCTCCCAGGGAACATGGTAATTCCTCGTCATCTGACGGTGGTTCCCCGTCTTCCCACGGTGGAACTTCGTTACATGTTCAGGATTTTGTTCCACATATTGCAAGGATAGCAAAGCTCATAGAAAGCAAGGTAAATTATTTTTGTTTAAAATATATTTAAAAGAACTACTGGTGGTAGGTCAAATGGTCCTTCAATTTTAGACACCATTAAAAAAAACATTTTTGGAAGAAAAAAAAATGTTAAAAAAAATTTTCATGCAAACTTATCATTTGTTCAGGTTGGTAGAGAAATCCATCCTCGTCCTGTAGTTGCAGGAGAACCTTTGCTCACAACTAAATATATAGATTCTCTTGTAGATCTAGGTAAACTCACTAAATATATAGATTCTCTTGTAGATCTAGGTAAACTCACTAAATAAATATAGATTCTCTAGTAGATCTAGATAAACTCACTAAATACATATAGATGAGCTCTAGTTCATCTAGGTAAACTCACTAAAAATATAGATTCTTTAGTAGATCTAGGTTAACTCGCTAAATATATGGATTATCTAGTAGATGTAGGTAAACTCACTAATTAGGGTAAATATAAATTCTAATGGGTGATTTTTTTTAATTAGCCCTTAAGCTCAACTTTACATGGAAACATTTATAACATTAGGTCGGAGAAGGACAATTTCTCATTTAAAACGGATTTGCTTTAAGTATTGTTTCCCAGGTCCCTGGTTCATTACATTGTCTTATTCTCTAACAGTTTGTTTCCCAGGTCCCTGGTTCAGTACATTATCTTATTCTCCAACAGTTTGTTTCCCAGGTCCCTGGTTCAGTACATTATCTTATTCTCTAACAGGTTGTTTCCCAGGTCCCTGGTTCAGTACATTATCTTATTCTTTAAAGGTTTGTTTCCTAGGTCCCTGGTTTAGTACATTATCTTATTCTCCAACAGGTTGTTTCCTAGGTCCCTGGTTTACTACATTATCTTATTCCCTAACAGTTAGTTTCCTAGGTCCCTGGTTTAGTACATTATCTTATTCTCCAACAGGTTGTTTCCCAGGTCCCTGGTTCAGTACATTATCTTCATCTCCAACAGTTTGTTTCCCAGGTCCCTGGTTCAGTACATTATCTTATTCTCCAACAGTTTGTTTCCTAGGTCCCTGGTTCAGTACATTATCTTATTCTCTAACCGGTTGTTTCCCAGGTCCCTGGTTCAGTACATCATCTTATTCTTTAAAGGTTTGTTTCCTAGGTCCCTGGTTTAGTACATTATCTTATTCTCTAACAAGGCAGCAAACTAAGAGTGTACATGCAAACTCAATGCAAAGGTAAACTAGTTTATATTTAAATTTTTGGGGGGGGTGTACCCTTTAAAGCTTTGTCTTATCAACTGATCAATTATGAATTGGATATTCATATTTATGATTTTGAAAACTGAGTATTTTCAATTTTGGTTTCTTTACCAATGTGACTTGTTCATATAACGGTTTTACGGGCCCGTTTATGAATCGGCAATTGCCATCTTTGCATAGAGGGTGACTTGAAATTGTGCATACAGTCCCTTTACCTTTTAATGTCTATAGTGGTAGGTAATAATATCAATACAATGAAGACGACTTTTTATTTAAGCTTTGATTATTAACAAGCTTTTTTTAGATTTACAAGTTTACAAGTAATCCAAGAGAAGCTTTTTAATTGACAGCTTCTTTTAGTCTTTAATTCAATGTTTATGTGTATCCATGCTGTTTAAAACCTTGACATAAATCAAAACTGAAAGTCGTCTTCATTGTATTGATTTAATTGGCTACCACTGTTTATATTTAGATCTCCCGTTGGTATTCTGGAGAGAATAATCGAACTAGATTTCTTGGAGCCTATTCCTGGATCATAAATACATATCCTCTTTAAACAGGGGTTTATATTTTCTCGAAAAATATTTTTTCTCTCTCCCCCTGTTTAAAAAAAATTCCAGAAGTGATGTATGTTACATACTTTTTTAGGGTTTGATTAAAAACTATCAAAAAGAATGGAAAAAGTTTGATGTCCAATTTTTAATTATTTTTCCCCGATCATCGAACTCTGAAAAATATTCACCCCTGTCTTTAAACTATTTAATATTTATTCATTTATTTATTTATTCAATGATCAGGAATTTTATTTAATTTTATCCAAAGATGCATAATAGCTAGCGTTGTCACATTTTTTAGAAAGGTATTATCATAGATAAATAACAATACAGATAGAGCACTTAATGTCCTCTTCTTTAGATTTAGGAGTTTTTCGTTCACAATAACCCTGAGGCAGAAGCCCAAAGTAGTTACGCTCATGTCGCGTTGAATGACAAGACAGAGAGAGAGCATGAGCGGTAACTCCTTTGGGCTTCTGCCTCAGGGTTATTGTGAACGAAAAAACCCCAAATCTTGAAAAGACGACATCTAGTGTTCTATCTGTATTATTATTAATCTATTATTAGATATGTTATATAAAGACAAGAACAGTCCTCTATCTAAGACTTATAATAAGACCTAAATCTGTATTGAAGGAATTGGAGACAGGAACTGATATGACTTATTTATCAAATTCTTCTCTGCTAATAAAATATCGTCTTAGAATTGTCATATTTCTAAAATGTTTATCTATTAAATGTCCCAACGCCAAAATAGCCTGGATACCTGATACAACAACATTTAATTCAATTTTATATTTATTTGATATTTTGTCAATGATTTATTATATTTTGGCTTGATAGTCATTAGTCCCTATATACTATTGATTAATTTAAACATTATATTAAAAGGGATGTCAGACTTTATTTTAAATGTCCTTCAAGTGGTATGTCTGATTCACAATGATTCATCCATGTTGATCACTTTGAATAATGATATTTTTCAACTGTGGTTTTTCTATTAAACTGACTTGCGGATTGATGCTACAGAGTCAATTTAGAAAATTGTCAGAATTAAACTCAATGTAGAATAACGACAATATCTTTTATAAAGATACCGTTGTGAATCCGGCATGGTCTTCTTTAATTAAGGGTAGCTTAAAATAACATTTACAGTCCCTTTCAGAGTATAAATCAACCCTTCCCCCTTTTTTAAAGGGAGTGACCTGCTATGTAAGGTAGTTGAACTGAGTATGCAGTGCAGTGTTGTGGAAAACTTCTTTAAGATTCATTTGAGACATATTAAACTTAAAAAGATACAACACTGCATACTCAGTTCAACTACCCTACATAGCCGGTCAGTCCCTTTAAATTTTGATTGGAAATTGGTCAAAGCCTTCTTGTGATAATTTAAGTTATATTAAAAAAAGTACTTTATTTTAAACATTATGTTTGATTTATTGATTATTTGATCCTAGTTCTCATAATTTATTGCATTAATACTATATTTAGTACTTTGATATAATGGAATTTAAGTTTTAAAACTGGTGTTATCGTGTGATTTGTAATTACGTAGATATGAATATATTTTTAACAATAAAATGTTTATTTACTAATTAATTTTGAGAGGTGTGAGTTAGAAATTTTTGAATCCGAGTTATCTGATTTGAACCCAGATTAACTTTATCTGTCTTAATTGAGATCCAACTTCTGTATTCGTCAGTATCTATCAATTGAGATACAACCTCTGTATTCCTCAGTACCTATCAATCGAGATGCGACCTCTGCATTTGTCAATAGCTATCAATCATGATACCACTTGCTCTAGAACTCAATGTTCTACATTAATACCTTAGTCTGTATATCAATCCAGATACAGACTAAGGTATTTCTTAGTATGTATCATACAAATACAACTCATGCTTACTCTCTGTTCTCTACACGAGAATTATTATGTGTCTAAACGTAATGAAGCAAAGGTTCATGTCCAACTAATCTATATTTTGGGTATTATAGTACATGTTAACGATAGGTTTTTTAAGAAATTAACGAACGTGGTTAGGGTACAGATAATGTTAAAACGTAATATTTTAGGTATGTTCAGGTTTACAAATAAGGGTGTTTATTGTTTAATACTATATTTATTACATCCTTAAACTCTCCTCCAGGCTCCAACCTTAATCCATAAACTCTCCTCCAACCATTATATTTAAACTCTCCTCCAGGCTCCAACCTTAATCCATAAACTTCCCTCCAACCATTACATTTAAACTCTCCTCCAACCATTATATTTAAGCTCACCTCCAACCATTATATTTAAGCTCTCCTCCAACCTTTATCCATATACTTCCGTCCAACCATTATATTTAAACTCTCCTCCAACCATTATATTTAAACTCTTCTCCAACCAATATATTTAAACTCTCCTCCAACCATTATATTTAAACTCTTCTCCAACCAATATATTTAAACTCTCCTTCAACCATTATATTTAAACTTCCCTCCAACCATTATATTTAAACTCTCCTCCAACCATTATATTTATTTAAACTCTCCTCCAACCATTATATTTAAACTCTCCTCCAACCAATATATTTAAACTCTCCTCCAACCATTATATTTAAACTCTCCTCCAACCTTTATCCATAAACTTCCCTCCAACCATTATATTTAAACTCTCCTCCAACCTTTGTCCATAAACTCTAATCCAGCCTATCCATAAATACGACGTCCCACTCCCTCCATCCTTTCTTTAACTATATCCAGATTTCTTTCTATATAAATGGAAACTTGTGAAAAACAATGAAAAATAATAATTTTAAAAGAAGTTAGAAGAATGGTCGAGGGGGGGGGGTACATACATAACCTCTAAGCCTCTTTTGATGTTAAGCCGTGTGTATCAGCACCCCCCCCCCTGCCCCAGTATATCTTGCATTTGTTTGTTTAAAAGTTCTCGCTCTGCTAGAATTCTCGTGGGCTGCCTTTGAAGTGAAACTTTAGAAAATCTTTCAACCAAACTTTGTTTGTAGGGGGGGGGGTCTAGATGGTTCTAAAGAAAATCGAGGGTTTCAAGTTGTTTGGGGACTTTTTCGAAAGATCATTATTAAGCGAAGCGAGTGTTATAATCGGTCGAATTGTCTCACTCAATACTTGAAGTAGCTGACTACCAATTTTAACCTTGAAAATTGCAGATGGGTGGATTTTAAAAGTCTACGAGAACCAGACACTGTGGAATAGAAAGACGACAATTTAGCGATCTACTTAAAGTATATGGTGTATCTTTCGACCTACGCAAATCCGCTCAACTCCACTTCTTACCTACGCCAAATCCGCTTTACTACACATCCGACCAACTAGCACGTGGTTTTACAGCTGCTAGATGGACTTGTGGGCGTAGCGTCCGACCCCCTAGCCGCAGCGCTCGGTCCAGGAATTGTCTTAACCTAACCTAACCCTCAAATATTACAAAAATAAACAGCTGGCGTGGTCCGATATTGCAGTAGGTCGGAAAGTTAGTAGGTCAGAAGTTCGGTAGGGGGAATATTGCGTATAGACGATGTAAGCAAAATTAAAGTGACACTCCATGCCCAATTCACAACGGTACCCTGGAAAGCTTTGTATAATCATGTTTGAATTATATATCAATATTTATAATTTTAAAAACAGATTTTTTCCAATCTTGGTTCCTCTTCTAGTTACTTGCCCATTTGTACTTTAGGAAAACATATAGGAATGAAACCTAACAATTTTTTAAAAGTTTTTAAAAAAAGTTGTCTTCATTGTTTAAATCAAAATTGCTTTTCTTGCTAAATCTTGATTCTATCCCCTTGCCCCTGTTATTATAACATAGAAAAATAAAGCATAACACATTTTAAACTTTGTGTGCTGGGCTGTCCCCCCCCCACTTATTTTCCTTTCTTCCTTCTCCTTCACCTTTATTTGCTTTCCTTCGGTTCTAATTTGTTTTTGTTTTTTGTTTTATTTTAATTTAACATGTACTTATTGCTGCAAAATGGCCTCTCATTCAAAACAACCACCAATCAGTACTCAAATATTAGGTCTTTTAGATTTATAAAATTGTTCAAAAATTTTGATCATCTTATGTTTTTCCTTCACCAAATATTGGTTAATTCACATTGAGAACATAAATCTAACATGTATATCCAAGAAAAATGAATGCATGAGCAAAAATTGGCTTGGTTTGTAGATTATTTAGCTCTATGTGCATAAAAAAACATAAGCAAAAAGCCCATTTAAGTTTCTCCCATGGTCAGATTTAGAGATAGAGTTTTCAAAACATCTAAAAATTATCATACACTCATAGTAAACAGATTTGGTAATTCGTTTAGTAAATGCTCCTGTTGGGTTTTTACTATTTTCTACAAAATCGACCCATAATTGTTAAAATTATGACCTTTTCTGGCTAAAAAAAGGAAAAATAATTTTTATCTTTGCCTCTTATTCAAAAACCCATAAAGATATATGCTAATCAAAATGGTTAATTTGTTTATCATGGCTTTAAGATCATTAACAAACGTTTTAGAAGTTCTAGCACTAAAGTTGACCGTGGGAGAAGCTAAAATGTGCTTTTTGAACATATTTCTATTTGCGCATAAAGCTAAAAAAACCTACAAACTAAGCCAATTTTTGCTTATGTATTTTTTTTCTTAGATGTACATAAGTTCTCAATGTGAATTGATCAATATTTGGTTATGGAAAAACATAAAATGATCAGATTTTGTGAACAATTTGATAAATCTAAAAGACCTAATATTTGAGTAGTGCAATGTTTATAGAGGTCATGGCTAAATTAAAATGTAAAATTTGTGCAATTTCTGTAATTGTTATTTTTTTTTGTATTTCGTCAAATATATATATTTATCTATCTCTATCTAAACACTTTCAGACCTTTAAGAGTACCTCTTTAATCGGGCATTGAAATCCATGAATGCATGGGGTACTTAAAATTAAGCTTACAGTTTATACCTGTAACGATCTAGGTCCCG